ATAGAAATGGAACAGCTGTAAGTGGAATTAATATAGAGGCCTGGTGGTAAACTACATACAAAACTGTAATGAGTGTAGTAACTATAAGTAATATATAACTATATATTAACACTATAATCTATAGTTTATACCATGAAAATAACACAGTACTTGGAATATAATATAGAATATATAAGAACATTTTTCAGAGTGCTGGCAGTGTTTGCAGGGATGGTCAAAGATGAAGAAGAGGAGGAGGAGGATGATGATTAGAGCTCCAGGTGTTTTAACTTACAGGTAAACAGGACTAGATTAGCAGCTTACACACTCAGCGACACCTGGAACCTCTCTAGACACCTTGGAACCCCCTTGAGTGATCCAGGACCTACTTGTCAGTGCTATCTGTTGCTTCTCAGTGTGAAGGAGTCTTTGAGTGGTTCCAGGGTCCTTCCTGGAGTCCCCCTCAAAGCATCCTGCTGCCACTGCAGGAAACCTACAGTATAAGCTTCCTTATCGCTCCCTGGTACCATCTCAGGTACTTATAACCCCTCAAGGAATTCCAGGCACCAACTCAGCACTCACTTTTTCAATGACGGCATGATCCTATTCAAGGACACCTGGAACCCCTTCAGTGACTCCAGACACAAATTCAATGACCTCTGACATGCCTTTAGGACCTTGAAACCCTTCAAGGACTCCAGGATCATTTTCAACCAAACATGTATCCTCCTCATGAAACCCCTCAAGGGATCATGGGATCCATTCAAAGACTCCTCATTGACCTCTGAAATCTTTTTAGGTTTTGACACCTGCTCAAGGAAACCTTTAACTCCCTCACATGCTGCAGGAAACTCGGGGCCTGAGAGTTTGACCTACGGCAGCTTAATAAAACATCTTCACTGGTTCAACAACGTTCACCGCTTTCAGAGAAAACAGAAGACAAACAGAAAGTGTCCCGGCTGTGTGCATCACTTTTTAGTGTCCCCTGGAAACACTGTGTCTCTGCTACTTGCAGCATTTCTGCAACATTTGGTTGTGCTATTTCAAGGACCTTGGAACCGCTCAAGTTCTCCAGGAAGCTTGTTCAACTACCTCTGAGTCTCTTCAAGAACTGCTAAATAACCCCCCTCAAGGTATCCTGGGACCTCCTCAAGGATCATTCCAGGCTCCTTAACAACCATTTAAATCTTCCCATGGACGTCTGAAACACCCTTCGTGATTAAAAAGTGATTTTTCACTTGTGAATGAAGGTGACTCTTTTCGTTAACCTTCGCATCTGATTGGTCGATATTTTTGTCTCTTTTTTTCCTCCAAACTTTTCAATATACGACACACACACACAGCTCTTCTATCTTTGTCTCATCCATTGACTGTGTGTGTGTGTGTGTGTGTGAGACCCGTTGTCGGGGGTAACAGTGGTAAGAATGTGTGACATCACAGCGGCGGGTTGTATATTAGCGTGCATCTGTCCTCTGCACGTAGACCACCGACCCGTCCTGACACTGAGACAGGACAGACACCAAACTTCATTCAAAAAAACGTTGCAACTTTTAGTCTGTCACGACGTCATCTGAGACCAATAATCGATCGTTTTTATTGGAAGAAAACATTTTGATTGAAAACTTTTAAGCAGTTTTCATTACTGATCGATGACCAGCAGAATATTCTGGAGGGTTTTTTTGAGGATTTTTGTTTCAAATTTGGGATTTTTGTTGGAATATTTCTCTTCACCTTTCTGTCAGTAAGTTCTGCTGCTTTTAAATCCTGTTGTACTTAACATAAAGTTCAGTGTTTAAAATGTCATCTGCTGCTGGGAGAAGGTTTAGATGATTTAATATGATTTCATCATTATAATAAAAACATAATTTAATCTCATCTGATACAGATTTTCTTTAAATCTAATCTAATGTTTTAACAATAAAATAAATTTACTTGTTGGAGCTGCTCGAGGTTATTTGTACTTTTCTCCAGTCGTTCCCAACCGACGGGTCGGGCCCCTCAAAGCGGTCACTAGATAAATCTGCTGTATTTTAGAGTTTCATCATATGTTTTAAACAGTAACTAGTAATTATATATGTATATGTAGTTATATATTAATAATATGTTACATTAATGTAGTGAAGCAAAATAAGTACTCCTCTAAAATGTGTATAAAGTTGTAGAAAATTAGTCCAAGTACCTCAAATGTGCAGTACTTGATTAAATGTACTTGGATACTTTCCAATGCTGAATATCTACCACAAACAACCTGAAGTATTTCCAGCTAACAGAGAGAGCTCCGTGTAGTTTGTAATACAAATGCAGGAGCTGTAACTTTATATTAATCAAACTGTCACACTGTGACCCTGGGGCCCCTCAGGGTCTGGGGCCCCGGGTTCACAGTGTTGCTGCTGCTGGCAAGTCTCTCACCATACATGGGTCAGGAGCATGGATCTCTGACTCATTCACTTGAGTAAAAATTTCTCATGGGCCCAAAAAGATTTTCTGGGTTTGCGTTCCACTGCACATGCTCAGTAGCGCTTTGCACCCTGGTGCCGCTCACTGGGACACCACACAGATTAAACCGTTTCAGTCACGTTTTTATGTTGTGGGAAAGTTTTACAAATATAAAACCTTCATGGATGAAACTCTGTGAGCTGTGAGGCTGCACTTATAAACAGCAGTGCTTTGAGCTAAATGCAAACAACTGTATGCTGCTGTGTGGTGGTGATGGTGCAGTGACAATGACAAGTGGAAGCTTTAAGCAGTAAACAGGGTGCAGCCCAGGCTGATGGGATGTTATTAGTTCTGCAGGGATTTGGTCACAAACCAAAGTGTTGGACACATTAACACGTTGACCTGATGATGGCGCTGGATGAAAAGTAAGAGGATCACTAAAGTTATTAGAGCTCATCCTGAGGGGAACATGAAGGTCTGAACAATATTTCATCAGAATCCATCCAACACTTTGAGGTGTTTAAGTGTGGACCAACGTGTTGGACTCAAAGAGGGGCGACCTCTGACCTTCATCTAGACCTCTGACCTTCATCTAGACCTCTGACCTTTGTCTAGACCTCTGACCTTCATCTAGACCTCTGACCTTTGTCTAGACCTCTGACCTTTGTCTAGACCTCTGACCTTCGTCTAGACCTAGACCTCCGAACTTAATCTAGTATTTTGACCTTCATCTAGACCTGGACCTTTGTCTAGACCTCTAACCTTAATCTAGTACTCTGACCTTCATCTAGTACTCTGACCTACATCTAGTACTCTGACCTTCATCTAGTACTCTGACCTACATCTAGTACTCTGACCTTCATCTAGACCTCTGACCTTTGTCTAGTACTCTGACCTTCGTCTAGACCTCTGACCTTCGTCTAGACCTAGACCTACGAACTTAATCTAGTATTTTGACCTTCATCTAGACCTCTAACCTTAATCTAGTACTCTAACCTTCATCCAGACCTCTGACCTTCATCTAGACCTCCGATCTTCATCTAGACCTCCGACCTTAATCTAGATCTCTGACCTTAATCTAGACCTCTGACCTTCATCTAGATCTCTGACCTTAATCTAGACCTCTGACCTTCATCTAGACCTCTGACCTTCATCTAGACCTCTGACCTTCGTCTAGACCTAGACCTCCGAACTTAATCTAGTACTCTGACCTTCATCTAGTACTCTGACCTTCATCTAGGCCTCTGACCTTCATCTAGTACTCTGACCTACATCTAGTACTCTGACCTTCATCTAGTACTCTGACCTACATCTAGTACTCTGACCTACATCTAGTACTCTGACCTTTGTCTAGACCTCTGACCTTTGTCTAGTACTCTGACCTTCATCTAGACCTCTGACCTTCGTCTAGACCTCTGACCTTCGTCTAGACCTCTGACCTTCGTCTAGACCTACGACCTTAATCTAGTATTTTGACCTTCATCTAGACCTCTAACCTTAATCTAGTACTCTAACCTTCATCCAGACCTCTGACCTTCATCTAGACCTCCGATCTTCATCAAGACCTCCGACCTTAATCTAGATCTCTGACCTTAATCTAGACCTCTGACCTTCATCTAGATCTCTGACCTTGATCTAGACCTCTGACCTTCGTCTAGACCTAGACCTACGAACTTAATCTAGTATTTTGACCTTCATCTAGACCTAGACCTTTGTCTAGACCTCTAACCTTCAACTAGTACTCTGACCTTCATCTAGGCCTCTGACCTACATCTAGTACTCTGACCTTCATCTAGACCTCTGACCTTCGTCTAGACCTCTGACCTTCGTCTAGACCTCTGACCTTCATCTAGATCTCTGACCTTAATCTAGACCTCTGACCTTCATCTAGATCTCTGACCTTAATCTAGACCTCTGACCTTCATCTAGACCTCTGACTGGAGACGTGCCAACACTACTCAGCCACAACATCTCCCTGAGCTTCTTTCAGTTAACACTAACCCCTCCTGACATTTTGTTCTGAAGGCTGTTCATCATTTTATGGAGTTCTAAATTACCGAAGAGGGAAAGTTAGCTCTCAGAGCTTTTTTTAACCTTTTTTAACCAGGCAAATTAGTTCAGAACAAAATATCTTATTTTCAATCACGGCCTGCAAGAAGAGGTATGTATGAATTAAGATTACGATGAGATGATTGAGACACAACATACAAGAAACGTGGAAAAATTGTTTCTTTCATGTTAACTTTCTGGGGTTTGAATGGATACAAAGACAAAGGGTTTATTAAAACATGGCAGCCCAAATGTCTCCTTACTGATGTTTTTAAATGGACCCATCAGTCATCAACAAATAATTAATGAACAGCTGATAAAGCCAACAGTTACATTTTTGCACCATTAATAAAGACAAACTCACCACAAGGTACATTTAGTAGCTGCTCCCGAGCTTTCGTTCACATCACATGATCTTCCTTCAGCAGAAAACAATGAATGAACACCTTCCAGCCAATCAGCATACAGGACAATCTGCTGCCGTGGCAATGTTTCATTTACTGAATCTTGTTTTCTGTCTGATTTTCGTCAGATTTTTGTTCCCCACGATACAAAGATGGCTGTTTCATCTTCCTCCTCCTCCTCCTCTTCTTTCATTCCTCTCCTCCTCCTCTTCCTTACTGTTGCCGTGGAGTCGAGACCTTCATCACAAAAAGACGACAAACAGGTCTGTGTAGATCATCCTCTTATTCATCCTCATCGCCATCCTCATCACATCATCATCATTATCATCACCTTCATCTGAAGATCACGCTCACTTTCTTCAAGCTCAAAATCTCATGATCCTCTCGGTCGTTGTCATCTTCATCTTCCTCATCAGTTCTGTCGTCATCTTTAACTTCTAGCCTCATTCTCAACCTTCCTGAGACTAAGCCTTCAGCTCATCTTCGTCTGTTTTGTATCTATACTCATCATTGTTTTCCCCATGTTCTTCATCATCTTTGTGTTCTTTAGCTAGGGTAGATCATCAGAACATGTTTTAAAGAAACGACCTGCTGTCACTTCTCAATAAAGATCAAAATGTTGAGTAGTTACCAGGGCCCAGTTGTTCAAAACATTTAATCTGGATCAGAAAGATCCAGATTTGGAAATCCCATGTTTTGCTATCCTGGATCACGTAACCCCTCAAACTTTTATAAAAAAAACACAAACATTTCCTTCCATTTTCAATTTCTTTAAACAGTCAGATCATCTGACCCATAACAAGTCCAAGAAAAAAATATGTAAATGCACAGTGATACACTGACCCTGATATTTTAAGCATGTGTTGTCCAATAGTTAAAATAAATAACATTCAGAGAGCAGATTTTAGCTTTCAGGAGGCAATCTCAGACTGAGGGACTGACTGGTTCACCTCTGATGATTGTGCCTCTGTAATTAATGTACAGTAATAAGGGACAGTTGAAATTAAATACAGTATTGTTGTGTGTAAACAGTGGCGGTTGTAGGCCAGTTTTATTGGGGGGCCAGTCTGGGGCCAGTTGTTTTGTCAGAGGGGTACATTCAGTCCAGGACAAAAGAGACAAAGGCAATCTTCAAGCTTTCAAAATGTCTTGTTTAGTATATGATGTTATGTTTTCGTATGTTTCAGTAAATTATAGTTATTTGTTTCAGTAACAGGATCTTTTCAGTGACGTAGTTATAATTTTATTAAATCACATTATTCAGAAGCATTCCTGTTAACTTTAGCTCAAGTTACGGTACATTCTTTGATGCAACACTTCTTTGTAACAGTATGAGCTCTAGTGTAGTCTATTTTAGCAGGAGTTTTGGGGACTATCAGAGATTAACGGCAACAGTCAGGTGACAGAGAAATAAAAATAATAAATAAAGTAATAAATAATATATAATAAAGTATCATCAGCATAGGTAATGACATTGTTAGAGGTGTGAGTGCTGCTAAGATGATGCACAGAAGGCAAGCAGAGGTCAAAAAGTAGAGGAGCTCCACACTCAGTACAAAACCTGTTTGTGGCGTCTAGAGTGACGGCTTAATGCTGGCTAAAGTGAAAGATGTGAAGATGAGGGTAGGGGTGGGCTAGCTACAACCAACATTATCTGAAGTGTTTATTGTATTTTGGGGTTATTATACTACTACTGTAACTTTGTAGCTAATATTGTACTTATAATTATTATTATTATCATTATTAATAAAAACTTTCGGATGTGTGAGGATATGAAATCACGATGGAAATATGTACTTTTGTTTCAGGGCATAAATATTAGTGTGCAGAAAGCACATGCTCTTCAGAGAGGTGCTGAGACTCTGCGCAGATTGGTGATCTATTACATTGATTAATTTACAAATAAACGTCATTTTAAACCTTCTCTTTCCTCAGGTCTTAAACTCTCTGTTCGGCCCTCGTCTCGCTTCTCTCATCTTGGCCCCGCCCAACTCTGATGACATCACAGAGGGCTCAGCTGGACTCCCTGCCCCCTCACCCAGGGTATTCGCCGCGGGTCACGGTGCTGCGAAGGGATTGGCTGGCAGACGGGAGGCGGTCCCTCGCTTCTTCCTTGACTTCCTCCAGCGACAGTCCAAGATGAGGAGGCGGAGCAGGAAGTCGATGGTGGGAGGGAGGGGATGCTTCGGGATGAAGATGGACCGCATCGGCTCCATCAGTGGGCTGGGTTGTTAGACCCCGTCCTGCAGACCGCTATGTTAAATTTTACTGACCAGACAGGCTGACTCCGCCTGTCTTTTGAACTTGTGATGTCACTACAGGTGACCACGAGCTGACCCTGCATGACCTCTGACCTCCAGGAACCCCAAGGCCTCCGGTCAGAGACTTTGTGTTGGAACTTTACTAACGAAGGACTAAACTAAACTAAACTAAAGGGAACACACCTGTTTTAGACACAGGTAGACATCAGAGGAAACGGAGGTTCCCTCCTAGCTCCCCTGGAATCCTATTAATGACCCCTGACCCCTGAACTCTGACCTCTGACCCCTGGCTGCAACACAGCCAGCAGAACACTGTGTGTGTGTAAGAGAGACAACCATGTGTTAAACATGCTGATGAGTGTGTGTGTGTGTGCGAGTGTGTGTGAGGATTTGACGGCAGTCTGACTGCACGCTGCAATAAAATGAGAAACTTCAACTTGGCTCACGTTGCTTTATTGGACAGTAAGTTAGTACATTTACTCCACTGCTGTACTTAAGTACAACAGTGAGGTACTTGTACTTTACTCAGGTCTTTTCTTTTCATGCTACTTTCTTCTTCTACTCCACATCTCAGAAAGAAATATTATACACTCACTGGCCACTTTATTAGGTACACCTTGCTAGTACTGGGTTGGCCCCCCATATATATATATATATATATATATATATATATATATATATATATATATATATATATATATATATATATATATATATATATATATGTTTATATATAAAGTGAAAAGTGGTTTAGACATAAAGGCTCAGACTTTGAGCATTAAGGTCTTAAATTACTACTTTCTGTAGAAATTCTGTGAAAAAGTGTAAGGGGCTTTATTTATACACAAAATTCCAGTGGAGATGACAATTAAAAATGTAAAAAATATAATGGAAATAATGCTGTAATCAGTTGCTTGTTTTTATAGCTTAAGTTACATTTTTCCAGTTTTTTTATTGTTCAAATAAACCTTTCTCATAGTATTTTAATTTGTTATTTAACATTTCTTGTCACAAGAAACTGTATTTATCAAAATATTTTTAACAAATGCTTTCATAAAGTGCTGGGAAAACGACCCCAGAGTAAATGGGTACTGTAAAAAAAAAACACATTTGTAGTAGAGAAATACTTTATTGTAGTACTTTCCTGCTCTAAATCACACTTTAAACAGAATAAAATTGTACTTGATTTCATGGAATGGCACTTAAACAGCACCTTAAATTACATAACCCCGTATGCAAAACTGTGGTGTCTTTTATAATATGATGTTGAAAATTGTGTTGTATTGTCTCTAATTTAATGTTTAGCTGTGTCAGCTAGACGACCTGCCGGGGACTACAGATGTAAAGCCTCAAGACTAACTTTGGCATATTCACATTGCTGAAAAGCTAAGATGTCCATTAATATGCACCGTCCTTTTTAAATAAATAAAAAAATGACACCTATGTATATCCTGTATATACCACACACCAATCAGCCTTCAGATTAAGCCCACTGACAGGTGAAGTGAATAACACTGATGATCTGGAACCTGTCAGAGTTGATGTGTTAGTCCCGTTATTACAAACAGAATTATATACAGGAATTTCAAAATGACATTTAATTAAAAAGAAATAAATCAATGTTTCCCAGCATATTAAACACACAGGACCCTGCTGCCATGATAAATGATTCAATGGACTTTCTGAAGTTGTAAATGAAAGATGCATGACAGCGATAACTTGTTCTAGAAACACCATCTGCCTTGGTGAGGGGGAACATAACTTGTCCTCGTCCACAGAGGGACATAAGGCTGATGATGTTCACCGCCATTATCGAGTCCATCCTCACCTCCTCCATCACCATCTGGTACGCTGCTGCCACCGCCAGCGACAAGGGCAGGCTGCAGCGCATCATTCGCTCTGCAGAGAAGAATCTTCCTTCTCTTCAGGACCTGTACGCCTCGAGGACTCTGAGGCGAGCAGGAAGGATTGAAGCTGACCCCTCGCACCCCAGACAAAAACTGTTTCAGACCCCCGCCCCCCCCCAGGTTAATGTTTGCACAACACATCAGATCTGAATGTGATTCTTCTATTGCAATAATGTAAATACTAAACTCATATTTTTAGATATCTTGTTATCATTGTTGCTGTTGCCAAAACAAATTGCTCAGATGTGTAAAAACACTTAAATCTGATTCTGGTTTTGCCAGATTGCTGATCAGTGAGACCAGTAATCAAGAAATAAAAGCTCTCTCTGGTCCATGAATGAGACCAGGACGCCGCGTGTTGTCCTTAATATAATAATTAATAATATTCACTCCGATCAGAAAGAAGATGTTTAATGATTTTCGACTGACAAACGTGACTGAAACATCTCGCGGCATCTACACTAGAGGGCAGCGGGGAGACACTTTGGATCTGGTTGTCCCCTGTCACGTGACGGGGCCCTTGGCTTCAGGGTTAGCTCGCTCGGCTAGCAGCTTCACTCGGACGCTGTCCGCCTCACAACACAGACCCGATCCTCGGCACGGATTCCCGTCCTAGCAGGACCTTTTCACCGGCACCGCCTCCTCCTGATACTCGGCTGTAGTTCCCGGCTCCTCCTTGTTCTCCGTCCTCCTGGTCCCGGTCCAGACCCGGTCGGCAAACCCGAATCATGTCGGCGGTGCAGAGGATGAAAGTGGCGAACGAGCGGCACAGCAAGACCATCACACAGCGGGGACACGTCCAGAAAACATCGGTACTGACAGCCGGGCTGCGTGGGCTAAACTGATTTAAAACATATCAGTTTATCTCTTTTAAATGCACAATAAATCCGCTTTAGTTCAGGTTTTATACGTTAAAATGCGAGACAAGTTCTGGAGGCAGCTCGGGTTTGACAGAGCTAACGTTAGCATTAGCATTAGCAACGACACACGGGGGGTCGATTTTGCACAGTCCAACATTAATAAGATAAAAGCGCGTTTAAATATTCTTGCAGATTATAGATGACGGAAAAACAAATGAAATGCTGGCCTGTGGCATGAAGTGACTGGTTAATGTGGATGAAATGAAAGAGAGCCAGACTCCATTCAGAAATCTGCCACATTAATGTGGTTTTGCGTGTGGAGTCACAAACGCTAAATAAATACGGTGATATATCACATGATACTTTTGTTTGATTGCCTTGTCTTTAACTCGGCATAAACAAAAGTTAAATGTATATCGTTTGTTAACCGTTTCTCGCGTACATTTTTGCTGTAAACACCGCGGTGGGCGGAGGCGCGGCGTGCAACGTTACGAACACAATACTAAAGATTCAGAGAGAGGGTTTGAAAAAGTCTGATTTTGCAAAGTTTGCATAAGCCGAATTTAAGGAGAGCTTCCAACGCGTTGTATTAACGTAAACTATTGTTCTTTAAATTGTATTTACTTTTGTAAACATAAAACGCAGCATTAAATATACGGATTTCTCAATGGAGTTTGTGATGAGCTCTGTTAGCATGGTGGTGTCAGCTGTAACAGCATTGTGTGCCCAATGAAACCATCTCTGACATGAGTGTGTTTATGGTAGGCTAGCTAATTAGGCCAGACCAACACTTTGGAGAGCAGTAAAAGAAAATGATAGTGGTTTGACTTAAAGATTTCATGATTCTGACTTAATTTTGATTTATTTTGACTCAGCATGAGTGTTTATTTGTAGCCCTCCTAATATATTTTCTCTCTTCCTGTGGGGAAACGACTAAAGGGGCCGATTAAGTAAGTGAGGCCCGTGAGCTCAGCCGTGACCTGATGATCACAGCTGCTGTCAGTTTGTTGTTACTTTGTCGCCGTGCTGCGAACAGAGCGACGCCACCCTGCTGATTAACAGCAGCAGAGTGAGAGGAAAACACCACAGCAGAACATCTCCCGCCGCCTGCAGGATTTATACTAGTTACTGTGTTGTTTTCCCAGAAGGAAGAAGTGAGCAGCCATGTTTGTTAGTCTAAAAGAGGCTTTGTTTACCTGGTGCGCACTAATAAATGTGTAATATTGTGTGTTTCAGCGGCCAGTAAACGAGGAGAAGTCTCCGGTGGGTCCGTGGCTGCTGGCGCTCTTCGTCTTCGTGGTTTGTGGGTCAGGTGAGTGTCACCTGCAGGTATCACACAGGTATCGCGTGTGATAACGGACGCACTGCTGTTAAGCAGCTCTGCTTCCTGCACAGCTCATCTCATCTAAATGGGTTTCCTGCAGAGCTGCGTCTCGGTGTCACACGCTCCTTACTCACGCATATCAGGCCTTAAATGCTGTTAGATTTTTTAATTTATGGGGTTTTATTATTTAATTACAAGCATCTGATGCTTGTGTGCTGAAGTCAGTTCTGACCTGCAGACAGAGAGTGAAGATGATTTTTATTTATTCAGTGTCATTTAGCAGGGACAGTGTACATTAATAAAACATAATGTAAATGAGACTGTTTTTCATCTGTAGTCCCTGTAACAGTGGTTACACAGTCAAGCTAAAAAAACTAAGAAATATAAAGTATAACATATTTCATACATTTTAAAACAAGTCATACTTTATGAAAGCATGAAACAAAATGAGTTGGAAGAAAATATTAATCTTCACTTTATTAAAAAAATATGCAACATGCAGCCCAAAGCTCAGAACATGAATTAATTATTAAAGAATCCTTCACTCTGCTGTCAGGAAACAAGTGTCAGCAAACTAAAAGCCTCTAAATGCTTTAACTTTAACACATTGTCTGCAGAAATCTTCCCACATGTTCTTTACGTGGTTAGTTTCACATCTGGTAGCTCAAACTCGCTCACCTGTGTTTTAAAGTGTCAACTCACGCCGCTTGTGAGCACCTGTGCCAAACCATTACTCTGAGAGCAACAACACGGATCCAGATGTGACTCGTTTTGCACTATTGGCTGCAGCAGTGTGTGTACTCTGTGTGCTGTAATAAAACAACCAAACGGCGAGGAGACACGCCGTTATCTTTAGTCCAGCCCACTTTGGACGGGCGGAGGATGTAAAGTATCTCTGAAGTGACTTGTTGCATCTCTTGCAGAGGTCACGGACACGTAGCTCTGCTCTTATCTTAAGTGAAACCGCAGCAGCTCCTCGGCTGTGAACACGTCTTTTATCAGAAAGATGAACTCGTTCTTCAGTTGAAACTCAAACTGTGTCCTCCGAACTCACACAGGCTAAATTATTTTTTTGTACTTCTCACCCTCAACGGTCGCCATCTTGGCTACATAACAAGAAGGGACGACCATCGTATTTTCAAATTGGCGGCAGAGATTGAAAAAGTACAAGCACGTTAATAAAATATTTAATTGAAGTGCAGATATTTTGGTGACAAATCGTCATGTCCAGAGCACAACAGCCGTGTTTGATTCGAGACGCTGCCCTAGGCTAGTAAGTAAGTACACAGTGTACTACGTGTTGGGGTACTAACGGGAGTATCTGAAGTGAGACGCAGTTTGACTGAAGTGAGCCTAGCTTAGCACAAAGACAGGAAGCAGGAGGAAACACACTGTGCTGTGATAGGCCAGTATAAAAACTATACGAATATAAATGTTTTAAATCAGACATTTCTTCAATTCAAAGCAAAAAGCAATTAAAACTGTAACAGACTGTATTTGAAAGTTTTGTGTAGAACCTTTTCAACTTGTTGTATTGTTCTACTTGTTCTGGATGTTTGTTCTTGTACCGGAACCAGATACACAAACAACTCCTCAGCTAAGTTAATGTGATGAAAATGGGTTAAACAGTCTGCGGTTGAGCGTCTCAGCGGTGGACAGTCCATTATTTTGGGTTGCTGCGACCTACAGCTTATTTTTCTTTTGCTGCATTTTAAAAGCGTTCTCACTCCCAGACTCGTCACATATGGACGCATGGTCAAGACCCATCGCCGTCAGTTTGTAACGGGCTGGGGACCCCTATAGCGTCATAGTTCAACGCAGTGGGGGAAGCCCTGTAGCATCAGTTTTTGACGGTAAAGGCAGGTATATGATATTTAATAGAAAAGGGGTGGATGGAGGGCCAGAACCCCGACTTTGAACCAGGAGACCGGGATTCGTGTCCCGTGTGAATCAAAAAATCAACATTAAATATTTTAATTTAAGTTACGCAAATTACGTAGATTGCGCAAGTTACGGAAGTGACGGAAGTTAACATTCGTGTTAACTGATATTTACCGCAGAGCCAAAAACATCTATAAATGATGCTAAAGGGCTAACCAGCGCGTTAAAAGGCGACGCCAAAGGGCCTTGACCAAGCGTCCACATGTGACGAGCGAGAACATGTTGGCATTTCCTGTGAGTCGACGTTGAGCCACAAACTCCACCTTTGTGCGGGTGACTGTGATGGGCTAACGTCGCTGTTAGCGCCGCTCTCGGTTAGCGGCCCACCGTAGAGCTGGCATCCAATCACAGGGACGCGTGCAAGTGTTCTAGCCAATCACAGCACAGTAGGGCTGCCAGAGGGAAAAAATAATGCGGGGGAAACTGTTAGCTTAGCATCAACCTTCTGACAACTGCAACTGATTTACTGTGTGTGTGTGTGTGTGTGTGTGTGTGTGTCTTGCAGCCATCTTCCAGATCATCCAGAGCATCAGGCAGGGCATGTGATGACCTTCAACCCCTGGAGCAGAGTCACATGGGGGGGAGGGGGTGCACGTCGTCATCATGACCCGCCTACCGCACGCACACTCACAGACACACACAAACAGACACACACTTGTTCCTGTGGAGTTTAAATCTGAGCTGTTTTTTCTTCCTACCTAACCCAACCCCTCTCTCTGTCTGCAGTAAATCAGATGTGTGTTGTTTTTTTTTTTACGTCCTTCACTGTCGATGAAGCTGATCAGATATTGGTTATTGATTGCTTGTCAGATGAAGTCTTAACTCCCCCTCCTGTCGGTCTGACGCAGTCGTCCAGCTGCTTTTTACTCCCCCCGCCGGTTTGTCGCTGACGTTTGGCTGAAGCCGATGTGTCTTTTTGATTTAAAGGAGCCGCTGACTTTTTATCTCATCACCCACAGATCCCGTAAACCGCTGCTGAGCCTGACTTTTATTAAACCCGTCCGTAAGTTTCAGGTGGATCTCCGCTCCGTGGACCCAGTTTGTGGTCGTTTACTGTGAATTTCTCTTCTTTATTAAATACTCGGCTGAGTTTTAACGAACAAATAAAGGCTGCTCGCTGCGAAAGAACAAATAAAACACCTGCTGGATTCAGGATCCTCTCTCTGCCAGACGCACCCCCATCAGCGTTAAGCTGCTGTGAGTATTTCACATTAATGTTCATGCACAGAAGTGAGAAGCTGGAGGAAACAGTTTTTTCTAGATCAGTTAAATAATAACATTTCTCTGCTGAAGTCAGTTATACTAATATAAACCGAAGTCACATTTTGGCTCAAAGGGTTTTAAAGTCGACACTCAAACGTTTAGATAAAACTGAAATAATCAGGAGTGAAAAGAGGTAAAAATCCAGGTGGGTGTTCTGCTCTCACTGAAGTTTTATTTAAAGCTCCAAAGGGCTCCAATGACTCGATGTGCAGCTGTTTGAACAGACTGTCATGTGGCTGGGAGTGAAATGATTTAAATTAAAATATACAGAACAGCAGCAGTCAGTGAATAAACAGCCGGGGTGTGAAATGAATAAATGTTAATTTAATAATAATAATGTAAATGTTTTAATGCAGGGTTCTGTTGGATTTTCTTTGTGGACAGTTTACAACTTTCAGAACAAGACGTCTAAAGCATAAAATACAACGATAAAAAACCTCAAAGACGAATAAATGGAGAAGTTCTCAGCTGAAAAATAAACTTTCTTTCCTCTCTTTCTGTCGGCAGCAGCGGTGGTGTGAAGCTCAGGATCTGTGTGTAATGGAATAAAAGCAGCAGTTTGTTGAAAAATGTTTTCCAGAAAGGATAAAAAAAAAAAAAAGAAGTGGTTTTTAAATGAATTAAAATCGCCCCTCAGATTAAATCTGACGTCGTGGCTTCGGTCAAACTGCGGCTGCGTTGACTTGAGGAGACTGTGAGCTGCTGGTTTTTAAAGCAGCTGCTGGTTCAGGTTTTGGAAAGGTGAAGCGGTCAGAGAGGTGAAGAGCTCAGCGAGCCTCCTGCTGGACGACATGCTCCGCTTTTATACAAAATAAAACCACATATTTTTCTCTACACGCCTCTGATCTCTGTGTCCTGCTTTTGGTTTGTGACTCCGGATCCTTGATTATAAAGACTTTCTCTGTTTGTTATGAAGGAGAAGATGAAGGCTTTTATTAATGCAACGTTCTGACCTACGCAGCCTTCGTCAGACAAAGAAAAGAAACCAAACATCTTCACACAGTTAGATCATGTGAAACAAAACAACATCTGTCAGTAGCCATGTTTTCATCTAGTCAAGCGAATTTTAACTGGACTTTTGAAATGTCGCAAAAAAGGAAATGCTAAATATGTGCGTTTCCTTCAGCTGGTTTGGAGCAGATAAACCAGGCAAGGTGTAGTTATGTCAGGAGCTGACGTTGCACGTGGCTGCAGCAGTATGGGGCTGCAAACGAGGAACAAAACCAACGTCATGGATCTGAGAAAAATGGAGGGAGGTCCTCAGGAATGTGTTTCAAGCTTGCAAACTGCTACCAGACAGTGAAAAGGACGCAAAGAACTGTAGTCCATAAAGGACAAATGTGACTTTAAGCATCTTTACAGTTTATGCTAAATAAACATATATATATATATATAATATATCCATCCATCGTCAACCGCTTATCCTGCGTACAGGGTCACAGAGGGCTCGAGCCAATCCCAGTTTACATCGGGCGAAAGGCGGGGTTCACCCTGGACAGGTCGCCAGTCCATCGCAGGGCCACACATAGACAGACAACCTCACGCTGTCATTCACACCTAAGGACAAATCAACCTAGGCCGCATGTCTTTGGACGGTGGGAGGAACCCCCGCAGACACAGGGAGAACATGCAACCCGCGACCTTCTTGCTGTGAGGCGACAGTGCTAACCACTGCACCACAATCTATTGTTGCACGTTAACGCAGTTTTTAAAAATTATTATTTTGAAAGTCTGTTGCTCACTGGCTCTGAATACACATACAGTCAAACCATGGGTCACAGGAGAGGTGGGATTTCGATCAGCCTGCAAATAACCTTCCCAAACAAGCAGCGGAGAGGCTTCTGCAGGTTCTCAGGTGAACAGACAGGGAGACAGCGCAGGCGCTCTATGGACAGTAACCATGGCAACGGCTTCTGTGCGCTACCCAGCTGTAGTCTTTTTAACTTAAATTAAAATGATACATAACTTTACCTGATAGGTCTGCATCTAGTTTCCCTCCTGTTGATGTCCTGATAACTATTTAGATTGTGGAAACTCACAGTTTCTCAGTCTCTCAGATTTCTGCAGCGCGTCGTGTACAAAAAGTTAAAGACAATTCAACTTCGGCAGCAGGCGGCCGAGTGCGTGAGGCGAGCGCGTGGGTGTGCGTGAGGCGAGCACGAGCGCGACAGTTTCACGGGAACACACCCAGTAGACCTTGTGCTGGACCACTTCACCTCACAGTAACAGGGACACTTGGTACTGAACGCAGACTGTTTCTGCTGCTCCCTGATAAAAGAAAAATGTTTCTGCTGATACCTGCTCAGAAAAAAACCCAAGAAAACTGGACTCTAATGGTAACTTGTTTCAACAAGCTAGATAAAAGGTAATTCCCTGGCAATAGGTTAGGTTTAATATTTGATTTGATCACATTAATGTTTTAAGTTTTGATTTACAAGAAATATTTTATTGCTACTGTGTAAAGGGAATACTGCTGGTAAAAAGCACCTTATTTGTTTAGTGTTTGCAAACCACATGTTATTGCACTTTTGTGTATATAGCAGTACATTTAAATCAAAAGTGTGCAATACACTACTTTAGAATTCGTTATTCAATTTTGCACGTAACAATGTGATTAATCGCAAGAAAATCACATTAAAATTTTTAATCACTCATAAGCTGTAGCACTAATACATATCTATATCTATCTATATATATATATATATATATATATAAGCTAGCTTCACCTGATAGGCCCTATATATATCAAGGCAAAGAAAATAATTTGAAAATGTAAAGTAGCAGTAGAAATACATTTAATTACTTTTACATGCGTCATGATGTTGCTGCTTTTTTAAATAATCTTGCGTGACTGAAAGTCACGAAGGTCATTAACCAAAAAGGAAGTTACATAATTTTGTTTCCATTGCTCAACATGTTTTCTCAGTTGCTTCAGTTTTTCAAGTTAAATTTAGCTGACAGTCGTATTAGTTAATTAAAACTGAAATAATTAATTAATGATTAAGTAATTGACATTTATTTTGATAATCCTTTAAGTCTTTTGTCATTTCTGGTTCGATCAGCTTCTCAAATAAAAGGTTTTGCAGTTTTTCTTTAGCTTTATGACTGACAAAACTGAATAACTTTTCGTTTTGGACGGTTGTTTGGTCAAGACAGACGTTTTGAAGACGTCACTTAATATATTAAATTAAGGTTTGTTTTCTTTAGATTAAGTTACTTTGTGGATTTGCATGTTTTCTGATCAAATGAGCCTTTATCATCGTCATGTGTTAGTTAACATTTCTCGGTTTTTAAAAAGTGATTGGGACAAAAACAGCCACTCCAAAAAGTGGTGAGGACGAGTCCCCAGCGGGGTAAATGACAACCATGCAGGAATCTGATGAGTCCACGTTTCTCACTTAAAAGTCTTGGAGCTCTAACAAATGTTTCCTTCCTCAGAGAACATTTGCAAAGCAGATTTTTTAAGTATTTAAATCCCGCATTGTTTACTAGCTGCTGTCGTCTTTGTCTTTCAGTGGAATAATGTGAAACCACTCCAGACTGTATTCCTCATTTATGAGACCTGGGGGTTGCCGCTTGGGTAAAACGTTGAAAACGCCTTTAATAAATATATAATGTTTATTTATTTAACGTTAATACAACTTAACACTGCAGAACTTAAAAACCTGAAATGTTAAGTTGAAACATGATCAGAGTATTGGCAGGCTTCCCAGCGTGCGTTGCTCAGTTATCTCCAGAGACGAAGGAAACTCCTGTTTTGTCTCTGTAACTTTGGTACAAAGTGGCTCAGAGAGCAGCTATTAGTGTTGGCTGCAGTGTTTAAGAAGAGGGAAGCAGAGGACTGTAAGCAGGATTTGATCTTATCCAGGTAACTTCGGGATTAACTCTGGGTTTTCAGTACCACGAAGGTGGTTCACTTCTTACCAGGGTAGATCTCATGCTGAACGGCTAACCTGCTCCGGAGCAGGTTGTGTTCCAGATAAGAGATCAACTCTCTGAAGATTTAAAGCCTCAGGCTATTGTTCCCTACAGGTTTTTACAGTAGCCTACAGCAGGATAAGCCTACTTAGTGCTTTGAAATGTATTTAATAATTTTCATTTGCTCCCAGTTTGTTTCACACAGCCTGACGCAGCCGTTAAAATAAATAGGTTTTATTTTCCTTATGTGAGGCTGAATAGGCTATTATGGTTTGGTAGGGATATTGAAATACGTTTCATTGTTTTATTACGTTAATTTAGAACAATGTTTGGCACACTTTTGAGTGTGTTAAATAAATTAATCAAATTTTTGAAGTGACGACAAGTTTTTTAAAGTGATCGGGGAACGACCCGTGTCTTTTAATGTGGGAAAACGACACCCAGTCGAGCTGAAACAATAAGGCAGATATTTTCATACAGCTCATAAAAATCAACGCACTATTATAGACTGTTCATTTAGACATTCACACTGTCGGTGATTTTCTGTCTCCCTGCGTGTGTCAGATGCTACTGTTGTATTTCTGTAGTGTTACAGTTTAACCCTCGTGCATAAAATATGACCCTCTGCTGACAGTGGACTTGTTCATGTCTGCGATTGGTCATCTGCTGCTAACACCGCCTCTTTTATGTGAACGCGCTCCCGGCTGGATTGGGAAACCCTGGGTTGATTTACCGAGTTGATAACCAGCTTCGTGGTGCCGCTTATCCCGATCGCGATTGTTCGGGTTAGTTAAACCAGATAACGAAAACACATCCTGGGCATGTTGAACTCGCTTCGTGGTCCAGGCCCCAGGTAGAGTAAACTGAGCAGGGGAAGCTGGAAGGGACGTTTCTTTTTCTGAGGTGAAACAAGTGAGAACTGAAAGGGTCTGAAGTGAAAGCATTGAATGGAGTTGAAGTGTTGGCGGAGCAGATGAACTCATTTAAACAGGCAGTGCTTGTCGAAGCATCAGCCGGTTGCTCCTTCAAACTTTGCTACACTTTTGTTTTTTATCTGTTTTTTCCGGATTTATTGACAAAACATTCGTTACCTCTGACATAAATCCAGTCATTGGAAGATGAAGACGGGTTTTTTGGATTAAAGAGCAGCAGTCCACGATCCACCCGGCCCAAACAACTGGACCAGGCGCCTTGGCGGGTGCAGTGATCGCTCAGAGGAGGGGAAAGAGAACCAGGAGAGGAGCCATGCTGGACTTAATTCTGCTCCTAAACAGCCAGTCTGGACAAAATGGGACTCATAGTGACCAGATAACGGAATACAGAGACTGTTGTGCCCACATCGTTACAGAGACCTGCCGCATCAACATCCCGGATCGAGCACTCGGCAGGTGGTCCATGTTCAGAGCTGTCAGTGCAAGACTCTGGCAAGTTGAGAGGAAGTGGACTCTGTGTTTTACATCAATGATGGTGCTCAAAGTCAAGATGGTGTGGTGTATAACATATGTGCATCTGGCCATTACGTGTATCCGGCCATTACAGTTTAACATAATGCTCTGCAGCTGGTGAGAGGGACAGTGAACCCTTATGGGGAAGTAATGATTGATGGGTGCAGTGTTAGGGGAAGTAGAAATTAGGTATAAAGAGATTAGTGTGTATAAAGAGATTAGTGTGTATGAAGGGACTGTACCCTTCTGTGGTGTCTAATAGATGGTTACACTTATTTTACAGCACTGTGCCCTTATATGGTTTTTAGCAGAGACCTAAACATGTCCTATATAAGCTGTGTTCGATGTACAGAGAGACAGAGTGGTTATCGGGCTGGGTCACTCTCCAAGCTGCTGCAGAGCTTGTAATTGATGCTGAATTCTTTGATGTAATAAACTTTGATAATCAAGAACAGTGTCAAGCGGATTTCTTCTCAACACATCATCGCAGCATTATCGTTCGGACACCACAATGGATTTCCCAAAAGTCAGACTGTTTACATTCACCCCAGATGCAAATTCAAAAAATGCACTGTGGAATATTCAGGGTGTTTATGCGTATGTGTATTGTTGTATTTTATTTTATATGTTACCATATTTTAATATAGGCCTACACTTAATTATATATTGTGGGTGTAGCACGAAGGAACTACACATTTCGTTTCGTTATGCAGCCTTGTGCTGTATAATGACTAATAAACTACCTTGTACCTTGTAAAGGATGAAGGAAGTGAAACAGTAGGCCGAAGTATGTAAATGCTGGTAGTTTAATTATCATTTGAAATGTAAAAAGCAGTTGATGTGACTAAAATCTAATTAAACTTAATTTACAGTCACATACAATAACAATAAATCATGAGTATCGATCATAGACTGTATATAAAAAGGTGTCGATACATTAATACAGTAAACAGTGCAGTTACTAGGTGATAACCCCCCCACGTAGCTACGCAGTGACGTCAGAGAAAGAGAAGATGGCGGCTGTGCTGAAGGCGGAAGGTAAAGGAGCTTTAACAGTGTGTTTTACCCGAAAACAGCCCCTGGTCGGTCCCGTCTGTTGTTATTTAAATCTTTCTAGTTCGCATTATATATCCAGAGGTCAGTGTGGACTGATTGGCTCCGGTTAACACGCTTTAACCCGGAGGTAAAGCCCTGCAGCTCGGCTTTCGGAGGGTTTAACCACTGCTGAGAGGGACCCGTGTAGCTGCCGTTAGCCTAGCCGGCTAACTGAACAGCTAAACAACCAAACATTGGTGTTATTTATTGAATAGATTCGTTTTACTCGTTAAGTTGTTTAGTCTGAAAGGGCGAGGGTGTAGTGGAAGTTACTGAAGTGTTAAAAGGTGTTGTCGCATGGCTGAATGTTGTAATGATACGAAACTGAGCAGCGTCTTAACGTTAGCTTCAAAGTTAGCTTAGCTTAGCATTACCGGGAGGAGCTGAGTTCCTGCAGCCGCAGAGAAGCTCCGGGAGGCCGCAATAGCAGGCAGGCGAGTCCGCGGACTGAACGCGGCCTCAGGGATGAGAGTGGGTGGGTGGGTACTGTTTGTTTATGTGAGAGAGAGAGAATTACTTTATATTTATTAAATTTATTAACGCTGTGCACTGTGTGGGCTTTATGATATTAATGCTGAGTGGTTTAAGTCAGGTGTGTAATTAACTAATACACATATTCACACTCACGGAGGAACACGGAAATGTTACGTAATAACACACACACACACACACACACTCCCTCTGTCAATTTCTTCAGTGTGCTTTATTGGCATGAACGACAGAAGAGCAATATTGCCAAAGGGTTATACAGTTAAAGTCACAATACCGTTCAGTAAAAAATATAATAAATACAGTTCAATAAAATTAATAAAAAATACAATTCAATAAAATAAAAACAAATAAATAAATACAATTTAAAAAGTAAATAAATAAAATACAATAAATTTCAATTAAATAAATAAATAAAATACCAGCCAGTTGAAAAAATAATTAAATAATAATTAAATAATATACAGCACAGTTCTCTGTCTCTCTGTTTAGAGTGGGTGCAAATTCAGCTGTTGCTAGGCAACAGGGAGCTATTAAAGGAGTGTGTGCCGAGCCGGTTTCATGTGTGTGTGTGAGGTGTCCTGCTGCGGCCCTTGTTTTGACCCTCCGTTTGTGTGTGTGTGTGTGCAGCGGGGCAGTGCGGGCGGCCGTGCGTTGCGTGAGACTCATCCTGCATGGACTCGTCGCCATGAGCAACAAGGAGATGGTTTCCACGGAGACAGGTCAGTCCCCACCTCCATCAGCTGATACAGGCACCCTCACCTGAACGTTGGCAGAGACGTCTGCTTGTTTTTTGTTTTTATTTATTTCAGGTTTGTTGGGACGGTGCTCACTAATATTTACATAAATACATTTATAATGTGGCAGAAATGAACCAAAAGGCTTCTGGACATCTGCGGCGTCTGGACATCTGCGGCGTCTGGACAGGTGGTAACGTGTCACACCTAAAAAGTTAAGACTACTAAAATAGGACAGATTCAGCACAATTCAGTAAGTTTCGGTAAAGGTGCAGCAAATTACACACCCAGGTGTTGGCTTTCCTCATCTCGTAGCTACAGTTATTTCCCTGTGATAAACGTGCACGTACCTGTATACAGTTACAATTTTAGATATTTGAAATGCCTTTTTTATTTTCCTTATCTTGTATTCTTAATGTAATTGTCATTATTTCAGCGGACGTTAAACTAGACTGTGAACGTGTTGGGGTCTTGTGGTCAGCAGGTGAAGGTAGTGAAGTTGGATCTGACCTGATTTCAGGAAGCGCTTTGGCTCGTGCAGGGATGCATTTCAGCCAGGAACCCTAGCAATCAGTTTTGTGCGTTATAACCTTTAATTTAATGACTGTAGTTTTCAGCAGGGTTCTGCACGATGTCTGTATTTGTAACTGAAAGCAAAAGTAAAATCATACATATCATTAGTTCAGAGCAACCCCAGGGCTGCGTCTTATCACCCATACTGTTTACCATCTGTAACAACGAGATGCAGATTCAGGACTCCACTTCTTATTTGTATAAGTACGCGGATGAAATGGCTTTGGTGGGTTTAATGCATGAAGGAGAGAGCGGGAGGGGAGAGAGGATAGTGTAACCATACTGACAAAGTGGGTAATAAACATTAATGACCGCCCTGTTGACACGACTCGATTATATATCCATAAAAAGGCAATGCAACGTATGTATGTGATGAAGAAGTTGCAGCTTCTCCGTGAGAGAAAATACCTTCGAGCTGGTCTCGTGGAGAGCGTTCTCAGGTACAACACATCGACGTGGTGCTGGTAATCTTGGGGCTAAGAATAGGTCCAAATTGACTAAGATTGTGAACATGGCTGGGAAAATCAAACGTAAGCCACAGAGAGTGAGATATAAACGCTCCACTGCAGGCAGAAAGCACAGAGAATCGTGGGGGATCCTTCACACTCAGGAAGGCGTTATAGGTTACCCAGGGCAACAGAAAAACTCTTTTATCCCTCAAGCAATTGCTTAGAGATAACCGGTCTACTGGAAGAACCACTTCTTATTTACAAGGACGGCCTGGAGGAGCAGGTTCAGACAGACGACATTTAGCAATATGACACAGAGGTAAAAGGTTAACAAGAGAAAAGTACCGAGGATTTAAACAATACAGGTCAGCAGACAGAATAAATTTCTGTTTCAAAGCCAGCCTGTATTGTTGTTTTTAAAAACCAGTTTTAACAGACGTAGAAACACTTAATAAATAACAAATAAAGCAGGCTGTTCAGTAAATATCAATATGTCAATCAACATATTCAGGTTACATTTGTAACATAAATCACTTTGTTTCAGCGAACTTCAGTGACGATGATAATCCAACACATCTTTGCTGTAGCTTCTACGGCTTTTTGGAAAATAATCCAATTGTGATTTTTTTTAACCAATATTACGATTTAAAATGCGGTTAATTTTTAAGCTCTCTCAAATCTCCTGTTACTGAAACAAATAAATGTAAGTGAAACATAGTAAAACTTTACACACCAAGTAGCGTCCGTGTTGTTTCCACGTTCCGACTTAAGAGCACGTGAACGCGCTGAAGTCTGAAGAACGACTTCACAGCTGGGGAAAATAACTCCCCTGTCACAAAACTTAAACACATATATTCACGGGTACAAACACGTCATCATTAAAGAGAGCGTTGATTTTGTTAAACCAATCAAATGAGGGGGAAACTCCACTTTATCGGGAAAGATAAGTGTGAGGGTTTGAGAAAAGACGGACTCTGCGGTCAACAGTAAACGTGTCTCTCTCTCTGTGCAGAGAACAAAGGACAGAGGAAGGTGTTTCTTCCTAACAAGCTGCTGGAGTGTCTCCCTCGTCTGTCCGGTCTGCCGAACGAGCGCCTCAGGTGGAACACTAACGAGGCGAGTGAGCGTGTGATAAACAGGAAATGGTCGAAAGCGTCTTTATTTTCTGCCGATAAATATGCGGCAGTTTGAACGTCTCCCTCTGTGTTTCTGCAGGAGATTGCTTCTTACCTGATTTCATTCGACCGACATGACGAGTGGCTCTCCTGCACCCTCAAAACCAGGTATACGCACGCACTCCGACCCGCAGCTCAGTCTGCCAGGCGAGGAGGCCGAGGGCGCCACACCGCGAACCTGACTCTGACTCTCCCGTTTCCCCGCAGGCCGAAGAACGGCAGCATCATCCTGTACAACAGGAAGAAGGTGAAGTACAGGAAGGACGGGTACTGCTGGAAGAAGCGGAAGGATGGGAAGACGACGAGAGAGGACCACATGAAGCTGAAGGTCCAGGGCATGGAGGTACACGCCGCTCTGCAGCTTAAGCTTGGTTTATACTCCTGCGCAGGGTCTACGTGCGTAGCTACGCCGTCTACTACGCATGTAGCCATGTATTTATGCTTGTGCGTCAGTGTCCCCGTCATTCTGCTATTACACCCTCAAACGCTCCTCGGCGGTAGCGCTACAGCGTCCACTGTGTTGACCTTCGCCGGCCGAGCAGGCGAACTTCCTGTTTAGTTCTCCGCTAACGTAAATGGAGGTAAAATTGAGCAGCTGGTGTAGCCTTTTCAAACGTTATCGACAGAATGGATCACATTCTGGTAGTGAGACGAGTCATTTCGCTCGGGTTGTGACGTCACGGGGATGAAAGCTAAATGCGCGTCATATTAATTGATGAAAGATACTTGACAGATTAATAACTCGCCACTCTGGAACTCTTGCTTGATACGGCTGAACCGAAGCCGTGTTTACCGGCTTCTGGCTGACCCGCCCTTCTCTGCTTCTGATTGGCTAGTAGTCCTTAACTAGGAACTGCACATGTGCAACTCCCAACAAAGATCATTTAGAGACAAGATGAATCACTCCGTAGCTAAAACCTTCAACACAGTTCGCACGTCAATCTGTTCTGGTACAAAATAACCTGAGAATGAGCAGAAGAGCACCTCTAAAGTTATTCTCTGTGGTTTCTTATCTTATCTAAACTCATTTTGTCTCTAAACCACGTTCACGCCTCCTCGCTCATTCAAACACAAAAACAGCTCCTGAGCTGTCGCCTCCCTCTGACTGATGATACTCGTTATGTAACAGTTAATGTTTAAACCAAAGAAAATAGATCACCTTGTTTGTACATAACAACTTTATTAACAATAATACCCATCTACTACTGTGGCTTCAACAGGTGGCCTGTTACACGAGAGTGACGTACTCTGTGGTCGAACTGTACCCAGCCCTGCTAATAACACCTCATGTTGAGTTCAGTTTTTACGCTTCACCTTCTTCAGTGTTTCATTTCAAGTGCAAATGTTCAGCAGTGATCACGTGTTCCTCAGAAGACTCCAGCTATTGTTACTTTACTCAGCCCGCCCCTCAAACTCAACGGGAGGATTTCTCAGATTAGAGATGTTTAAACGTCTGAAAACAAACCAGCGTTTGTTAGTAAAGAGAGCAGCGTCTGACCTTCACACGACGCCTCCTCCTGAGCGCTGTGGAGTCTGATCTGATGCTAGCTGATGCTAACGGTTGTCTCTGGTTTCAGTGCCTGTACGGTTGCTACGTCCATTCCTCCATTGTGCCGACATTCCACAGACGATGCTATTGGCTGCTGCAGGTCAGCGCACGCACACACAGTAACTCATTTACAGTATCTCACCAAAGTGAGGACACACCTCACGTCTTTGTAAATATGTGATTCTGTATGTGACAACACTGAAGAAATGACGCTCTGCTACAGTGTAAAGTTGTGAGTGTGCAGCTGTGTAAATCTGCTGTCCCCTCAAAATGCACTCAGGCTTGGACTCACGTTTGTGAGGTAGATACAAGATGAAGCTGAGTTTACGTGTGTGTGTGTGTGACAGAACCCAGACATCGTGCTGGTCCACTACCTGAACGTGCCGTCCCTGGAGGATTCTGGGAAATGCAGCCCGCTCATGTGTGCGGTGACCGACCGCCATGACAGTGTGAGGTGGAGCCGAGACGACCTGCTGAGTCAGCTGAAGCCCATGTGTAAGAAACATGTACTGCATGTACTTCTAGTGCACTCAGACAAAATATCCACCGTGTGGTACTAACGTGTCGTAACTGTTACTTTGAGGTACTAACGTGTACCACCTGTGTACTCTGTGTACTCTGTGGTACTAACGTGTACCACCTGTGTACTCTGTGGTACTAACGTATACCACCTGTGTACCACCTGTGTACTCTGTGGTACTAACATGTACCACCTGTGTACTCTGTGGTACTAACGTGTACTACCTGTGTACTCTGTGGTACTAACGTGTACTACCTGTGTACTCTGTGGTACTAACATGTACCACCTGTGTACTCTGTGGTACTAACGTGTACTACCTGTGTACTCTGTGTCGTCTCTCTCAGTCCACAGTATGAAGTGTTCGGTGGGTTCAGGAGATTTCAGTATCGAGGAGCTGGTCCAACACATTCTGGACCGACAGAGAACCAAACCTCAGCCGCGCACACACGCCTGCCTCTGTAACGCCGCCCAGGGTAAGACCTCGCTGTGACCTCGCTGTGACCTCGCTGTGACCTCGCTGTGACCTCGCCGTGACCTCGCCGTGACCTCGCCGTGACCTCGCTGAGTGAAACTAACAGTCTGTGTCTCTGTGCAGTGTCTTCAGGAGTGAACATTCCCCACCGCTGTAACAGCACCAAGCATCGCATCATCTCCCCCAAACTGCCTCCCTCCTCCTGCAGACCCTCCCCCTCCCCGCTGTCCTCTGAGGTGGGGGAGGCGGGGAGAGGAGGAGGAGGAGGAGGAGGAGGAGGAGGAGAAGCCAAACTGCCCCACCTCCAGGCTCAGAGCAGCCCCGTCTCGTCTCCGTGCCCTTCATCCACGTAAGTCACGCACACGCCGCCGTCTACGGGGAGGCGGCGAGGACACGTGAGCTCATCTGTCCTTTCTGTTTTTGTAGCTCGTCTCCACCTCAGCCTCACAGGCCCGCCGTTGCCGCGGGGAACCACGGCAACGGCTTCTACGGAGACCACCGCGGCAGCCTGACGACGGTGGCGCTGCCCCAGAACGCTGTGATCGTCATGGCAACGACTACCGCCGCCATCACCACGGGGGGGCGAGGGGGAGGAGGAGTGGCCAGAGCGGAGGAGGCGGGGCCGGGCAGGAGCCTGTCACTCACCCACTCCGGACAGTTACTGCTCTCCCCCGCCCTCCCGCCTCCTGCAGGAAAGCCCGCCTCCCCTTCCCCTCCCTCCTCCTCCTCCTCACCCGCTCCTCCCAAACTCCCGCCTCCGCCCGTCCAGGCGCCGGGCGTGGCCACTCTCTCCCTCACCCTCCTCCCCTCCCCCGTCATTGGAGGTCTGCTCCTTACCCCCTCCTCCTCCTCATCCTCCCTCCGCTCCCCGCCTCCTCCTGCCACCGCCGCCTCACCCCCTCCCTCCCCCTCACCACCCCCGCTTCCCCCGTCCCTCCCCCTGGCCTTCGACCCCGACTCCTTCCTCAACTCTCCCAAACAGGGTCAGACATACGGCGGCCCGCCTCCTCCCTCCTCCACCCCCTCCCCTGTCCTCTGCTCCTCCTCCCCCCTCTCGCCCCCCTCCCTTGCTCTCTCCCTCTCCCCCACCTGCACCCCTCCCTCCTCTGTCTCCCCTCCTTCCTCGCTCTCCTCGCTCTCCTCTTCCTCCTCCTCTTCGGAGGACAGGAGAGACTCGGCCCTCCCACACTCCTCCTCCTCTTCCTCGTCCTCCCTGCCCCCCTCCCTCTCCCTGTCTCCCACCTCCTCTGTGGCCCCGTCCCTCCTCCCCCTCTGCCTGGAGCTGGGAGCTCTGGGGGAGTCGGAGGGAGGACGGGAGTCGGAGGTGGCGGCAGATGAAGAGGAGGTGAAGGACAGGAGGGATGATGATGATGATGATGATGATGAAGGCAGCGCTCCTCCCACCAAGCTGGCGCTGCTGCAGGTGAGACTTTAAACGCTGTGGGACTATTTTCTCCTGCAGAGAAACGTATCCATCCGCTCTGGACCTTCTTTTCACTCCTTTCTCTCGTCATTCAGACAGGCCACGCCTCCCCCAGCTCGTCTCCACGGCAACAGACAGGAAGTAGTTCCGCCTCACTGCTCGTGGTTTGCCAGGACTCTGCGAGCCAACCCTCCCAGCAGCCGGCCAATCAGACGCAGCGATCGGCCGACGGACAGCAGCCGTTGGTCCTGCAACAGCGGTATAATCACCTGTCTGCGCCTGAAGCTCCGCCCCTGGCTCAGATGTCCCATCAGCCCCTGCTGCAGCAGCAGCAGTCCCTCGGTCTGGGTTGCGCTGACTCTAACTCCACCCCCGCGGCTGTCGCTATGGATACCACCCAACTGGCGACGCCCCCGAACCAGGTGAAGGACGAGAGCAGACGGGACTACGACTCGGAGGACACCCGCATGGACACGCACCTGGAGGAGGAGGCGGAGCCCTGCGAGCGTGGAGGGGAGGAGCTCGACATTTCCTTCGACAGCCAGTTCCCCGACCTCATCTCTGACCTCATCACAGAGGAGGCCAATCCCGTCGCTCCACACCCGTCTGCGGCGCCGAACCCCGCCGTGTTCCCGGCCGGCGTCCGCTACATGGTGCCCCCCCAGCCCTCGCCGTCCTCCTCCTTCCTCCCGTTCCCTCACCCTCTGCCCTCGTCCTCGTCGACCCGCCTCGCCTCCATCACGGACTTCTCCCCTGAGTGGTCCTACCCCGAGGTAACCAATCAGCAGTCAGCACATAAAACCGCCGCACTGTCATCGAAGTAGCCAAGTACATTTACTCGAGTACTCTACTCATGTACAATTTTGAGGTACTTGTACATGACATGAGTATTTTTATGTCCTGCAGCTTTATACTAAATAATAAAAGAAGTTATTTTTACTACAGTTTTTGTTGCTTTCAGGGTCAAATCAGGAAATTAATTAACTTTGTTATAGATGAAGAACATAAATGAAAAGTAGCTCCGCCCACATCGATCAGTAATTATGATCCAGTAACATCATATGTACGATCAGCACTTTAGTAGTTTCAGTGTATTTTTATTCATACTGGTGTAGTTTCACTGAAGTAGAATGCATGACTTTACTTGCAACAGAGTACTTGTACACATTAGTACTTTTCCTCCAGAACACGCGGAGGTTATTTAAACGTCACGTGTGAAATATTTGACACAGTGACGTTTCAGTTTAGATGCACTGAATGAAGTTCGAGTGAGCGCTTGAAGTGAAAGATCTGTCATTCAAAGAATAAACGGGTGAGAGGCGTGAACGGACGCCTGGGTCGGAAGTTTGACTTGGAGTCTGTCGCCGTCACTCTGAGCTGCAGGCTTCGTCTGTCGGCCTCGTACTGCTGCTCGCCTGTTAAAATACGTTGTTGTTGAAGAAACCTGAGCAGAGGACTTCAAAAGTTTGTTTTTATCTCATTAAACAAAAGAATGAAACTCTGATCAACGAGTTTATTGATCTGACGGGACAGATTTTAATACCCTGCCACTGAGTCTTTGGTTCCTCAGAAACCTCAACAGCACCATCTGCTGGACTGAACAAGTGAGACGAACAAACAGAAAAGTAACTTACTAGATTAGATAAAACAAAATTTAAAGTTGGGGGAAAAAGGTAATTAACTGCAAAATATACGTAGCCTCCTACCGATGGAGAAAGTTACCAGGGAGAGGCGGAGAGAAGCGGCGCGCAGCAGAGGTACGTTAGACCTGTGAGTGACTCTTCAATAAGGTGGAGAATGAAGTATTATTAAAGCGGTGAAATAAGAAACAAGCTAAGTTCCTACAAACAGTAAAAACCCAACTCAGAGTCCATTTATTATATTATTTTATTTGCTGAGGTGTGTAAAAAAAACAGAAAACTTTCCAGTGTTTGACTCAGAAGCTGAGTTTATTCTTAAAAGCTCAGAAGAACCGCAGGCGAAGCAAAGTGTGCAGCTCGGTGTGAACGTCAGCGTGTGGTTATCTCTGATCAAACCTCCGTGTGTGTGTGTGTGTGTGTGTGTGTGTGTGTGTGTGTGTGTGTGTGTGTGTGTGTGTGTGTGTGTGTGTGTCAGGGAGGTGTTAAGGTTTTGATCACAGGACCATGGAGTGAGCTGTTGGGTCGATACTCGTGTGTTTTCGATCAGAGCACCGTCCCCGCATCGCTGATTCAACCTGGAGTGCTGCGCTGCTACTGCCCTGGTACACACACACACACACACACACACACACAATGATAATAACATGTAGTTAAGTTTAAGACATAAAGGCAACAACAAAAGAGACTCAGTACTATAAAAATAAATAATAAAAGTGACAGTGAAGAGAGTAAATAGTCAGAAATATAAATCCTGGTCTGTGATTGGCTGTTGGTGCGCTGAGCGTAGTGCGTGCGCTCACCTGGATTTTGTCTCCCGTCTCTCAGCCCACGAGGCCGGCCTGGTGTGTCTGCAGGTTCTGGAGTCCGGAGGGTCGGTTTCTTCTTCGGTTCTGTTCGAGTACCGAGCGAGGAACGCCAGCTCTCTGCCCAGCTCTCAGCTCGACTGGCTCTCATTGGACGGTCAGTTAACATCTCCTCCGCATCTCTCACACGGTGACCAGTAACACAGTTCTGGTATCGACCGCTGAATTTCTGACGCTGCCGGTCATAAAAACCTGTTGCCACACAGACATGAAACACACGTAGGGTCGTCCAGCGTTCACTGTGGACATCAGAGGCTGCAGAACCTGCCTGAGAATCACCTTGAGTTTTCCTCAGTGTCACAGCGAGAGCTGCGTGTCCAGCCGTGAGGACACTGAGGAGCTGCTAACAGCTACTCCAGGAGTGTTATTCGTAGGTGTCACGTGACGTCACTTTCAAAGGAAAACGCTCCCTTGGAGGGCGAAAAAGACGTTATTTTCCTTACTTTGAGTTTGTTACTTTGCGTTGTTGTTGTGTATTTTGGATTTACTAATCGAGGAGGGGACGAGCCTGAGCTGTGTTAGGTGATTTCCCAGCAAGTAAAAGCAAACATACCGCAGTCGAGCGGCGGCAGAAATGAAACTATGAACGCTCTGTGGTTACATCCACCAATGCATCATGGGAACTGTACTTGAGTGTCATGGTCCTAAAACATGTGGCGTAAACCTCACATGCAAATGGATCCAGATTTATGAGTAAGATCAGAGCTGCAGAGCCCTGTGTGTGTTTACAGTGACACATCAGATGCAAATTTAAAAAATGCACCGCAGAACGATGTTGAGTGTCTGTTTATATAAATAATATGTTGTTTTATTTTGTTACTATAATTATGTTTATTTATATAGATGTTGTGTGTAGCACGGAGGAACGACCACTTTAGATTGGTTACGCAGCCTTGGTCGACTGACAAGACATCAAACGCACGTGTTCCTCCTCAGTGGTGAGCGTTTGTTTGTGAGCCGCAGCCCATCACTATTATTACCTGCAGATCCACCTTTTAAAAACCTGTGAATACTCAACACAGGAGACGCGCAGCAGTCTGTTCATGATAGTTCCCTGATGAAGACGTTTGTTCAGGGGACAGAAACTACAAAAGAAATCTGAGCTGCATTTAAAGTCTTTCACCGAAGGCAACCTGCTTCTGTTTCTGCTGAGCCCGACACGGCGATCTGAAAACCCGGCCGTGTGGAAGAGTGCACGTACGCCGTGAGAGGTGATGTGACGGCCGCATGCGATGTAGTTGTTGTAGTTTGCCAGCAGGTGGCGCAGAGTTCCTGTCGAACACCCACAGCACTTTTTACTGCGCTGGTTTGAGCAAATGAAAAGAGATGTAGCCAAAAATACAGGTCGTAGTTCAACATTATACTTCCTGTTAACTTCCCCCAAAGCATCATGGGAGATGTAGTGTAAGTGTGCCCCAGATAGAAATATACCAACAGTAGAAGTCTTTGTCTTGTTGAACTGTCAGGCTCGTCTTCAGCGTGGGGGGAAACCTCGACTGCTGCAGACGGCAGGTTAAAGATGGAGACGTTGGTCTGAGGGAGGGCAAAGAACAAAACGCCATCAGGTGAAGGGTCAGTTCAGTTCGATCTGCTAACATGCAAACATGACCGTTCAGTTTAGCGGTTACAAGTTAGGACAGCAAAGAGATCAAATGAAACGGGAATGAACCCGGTTTGACCTTCATCGTGCAGCGGACGTTGCCAGCAGCTGGCTGAGTCCCTCGCCGTCCCTCAGGTCTGGACTCAGGGACCCATACTTGGCAGCGAGGTTTGCCGCCTGTCCTGCTCCTGGTATTATTGTCATCTTCGAGGGCTTTGAAGTTTAAGTGCTTTCACTAGATGAAATTCTCTCTTCTGTATTTATCTCCTGTCGCTCGCAGACTCTGTGTTCTTCAGGTAAGCAGGACTTTTAATGTCTCCTGTCTCAGGGTCCCTGCCTCTGCCTGATCTCTCTGGGCCGCATCACAATCTAGTTCGTGTTGGTTTGTTAGCTCTGAGTGATCATTCGGTTTCCTGTAACTGCTGAGAAAAGTGTCTGGTAGTCTCAGGACTAGCTGGCGTAAGGGACTCTGTTCCAGGTTCAGCTCTTGGGTTTTGGGAGCCTTGGGGACTTGATCTGAGGTGCATCAGAAAGTTTAGTGCTCGTCTTTGGGGTCTGTTATCAGTGGAAACCTCCCCGACTCATCACATCTGAGCTCTGCGTGTCGGGTCTCGGTGCTCCTCCCGCCTGTTGCAGCTCTGCGGACTGACTGGACTTCACTCGACTCTGGGAGCTCTGTCTTTGTAGCCCCCCCCCCCGTCTCTCTCAGTGATTGATGTGGTGGAGCTGTTCTCCTCTGTCATCACCTGGAAACACACAGTCATCAGGACTCGCTGCTATTTCTGACTGAAGCTGTTTGAACAGGCGGCCAGAGGAACGCCGGCTCAGGCTGCGACGGGCTCCGTTAAATCACCTGTGGCAGATCGGACACCTGGAACGTCCTTCACGCCGTCTCTTCTCTTTGTGGCCGTTAATTCATTCACGCTTTCACTCGTCGCTCTCTCTCTCCCTCTCTCGTCCGCTCGCTCTGCGGTTTCAGGGACTCTGTCGGGGGTTTTAGGCTCAGAGCCAGGAATGTGAGACACTTCTGTCCCTCCCTCCCTCCCTCCCTCGATGAGGACTTCCCACCGTGCCCTGCTGCTGTGTTTGGACGTCCAGCCTGCAGACTCACCGGACCACTCGCTGCTCCCTCTCTCTCTTTAAGTAGCTGATCCTCGCACGCCCCCTCAGTCGGCTTTCTGTGCGTGTTAAATCTGCGGCGCGTCTCTCATCAGGCCGTCGTCACCGTGCACATTTAAAGACCGCGTGTTAACTGAGACATCAGAAGCAAATGCTCCTCACCTGTGCTCCCACGCTCTGACACCGAGAGGAGGAGCAGGAGCAGGAAGAGGAGGAGGAGGATTGTGGGACAAACAGACAGACAGAAGATGGATGACAGACGGCGAGCGGATGGTGTCGGTAGGACGAGAGTGTGAGTGTGTGTTTCTGTCGGGGGGTCGTGGATGTTAATTGATAATGAGAACTGGTCGATCAGATCTTATTGATCAGGACAAACGGGCGTCAGAAGGGAGTCTGTATAAAAACAGAACGCTGCATTTGTTCGTGTTGGACTAGTTGACACACGTTGATGTGATTATATTGTGTCCACTTTATTAGGGACACCTGGCGCTGCCTCCTGGCGTGTTTCTCGTGTGTTTGTGCATAAATAGAAACAGCAGCACCTGTGAGCTCCGTAACAAACGGAGCTGTTTGTGATTTTAGAGGTGTTCCTAATGAAGAGTGGAGATTTGACCTCCTGAGCGGCACTAGTTCGACCGGCTGTCTGCAACATGAAGAAATCCTCTGGTCAACAACCGTTTGGATCCTGACACATTAGACTTTTTAAGCCTTGTAGAAAACCTTCTGGAGACACAGTTTATGGGGTCGAGCGGCGGCCCTGAACAGTTTGTGTCAGTTTAATGAAACAATAAAATGTTGCAGCTCTGTGAGGCTCTACTCAGACGCTTATCCTGTTGGTTGATTTAAAGGACGCCTCTTCGTTTTGTCCAGAACACACGCGGCTGTGACGCCGGTTTTTCACTCTTAAGAGCTGAATCAAGACGATAATTTACAAAATGATCATTTGTTGCGTTGGTGTGTGTGTGTGTGTGTGTGTACAGGTCACAGTGTGTCAGGCTATATTAGGGAGTCAGCTTTTATACACTTCACACACACACTCTGACTATGCCAGGCGGCCGGACGATTGAAGTCAGTCGAGATAGTTTCCATTTGAGACTGTGTGTGTGTGTGTGTGTGTGTGTGTGTTAAAGAGGCTCTCCTAAAACAGTTATTTAAAAGGGTTAGACCTGTCGACACACACTGAGCAGCTCAGGTTTAGGTTGATCTACATGCAGCTGATTGGTTGAAGGTTTCAAAAATTGTTCTTTAGAATCACTGATTGATTCAGTCTGCAAAGCGTGAGCTCGAAGGCGACCGTGCCTTTGCTGTGGCAGCTCCCACCTCCCCCGTTAGACAGCCTTCTTCGCTGTCTGTTTCCACATCTCCGGGGCTCGACTACGGTCTCAGTCACTAGTTTCAAGTCTTCTTCAACACAGTAAATTATGAGTTCCTATTATGTTCCTATTTATGGGGAAATAGACGATAATGCGGCGCATGCTTTTGGGCTGGACAACCTTATAGCAGGAAATGAAAATGTCGCCCATTTTATTAACGGATTGTTGGTATCATGATCTTATTAGTTGTTAATATTTATCTGACCTACAGTTTGAAATCTTCTGCTTCTTACCAACAGCCAGGAGCAGCTCAGGTTCATCTGAAGGGCAGTGTTGGGTTAAAGTACTCAGAGAGGAAAAGTGAAGGAAAGGGTGTCTGTGAAGGTTCTCAGTCATCCAGGTCACAGTTATCCAACATCCAAGGAAAGGACGTCGTTGACAACATGGATTAAAGCGCTCACATATTTACTGCACGTTGCTCTTGTGCACATTATTCAGCAGCTTAGTTTAGGCCGGCAGGAACGATGTGTTTAGGCGAATGTATTTGCGTTTAGGTTCACGGACTCTTCTTCCTGATGGTAGTGTTTGGAGTACCGGGAGGTTCGTCCTGTTCCTTCAGGTGATCTGTGTAATGTGAACAAAGAGCAGGAAACTTCACCCCCAGACGTTTTCCACATCTCTGCAGCCTGAGCGGGACGCCATTTATCCCACCTCAGCCTGTGGGATTGTCGTCCAGCGTCGCTTTCTACAAACAAATCCACTAAATACTGAAACAGATCCTCCAGCAGACTCTTGTCTCCCGCTTCCTGTCCTTGTTCTGGGTTTGGACCGTCAGCATGTGCTTCAGTTTACTGTTTTGTGATGTGTTATTCATGAAAACTAGAAGGTGAAGACGTCTCCACCAGGAGGCAGAGGAGGTCTCACTCTGCGTGATTTCTGTCTGCAGATAATCAGTTCAGGATGTCCATCCTGGAGCGGCTGGAGCAGATGGAGCGCAGGATGGCCGAGATGGCCGCCCGCGAAAGCAACAACCACCAGCAGCAGCAGCAGCAGCAGCAGCAACATGGAAGCCAGCTGGCCACACCCCCTCCCCCACCCCCACCTGAGGACCATGAACAGGTGAGACCTTTTGCTACGTCTGCACCTCCCGTCCAGACTAAACCGGCTAAAATGAAAAAAACGCCTACATTTGTACTGTGTATGTCGCCATTTACTTTGTAACTCACCTGTTTTCCCGCCTTCTTATTCCTCAAAAGTACAAAATAATGTTTAATACAGAGTGAAAATATGGATGAATGAAATTTCTTTGTTGTGATTAGTTTTAATAGTTTATTTAAGATGATGATTTATTTTTAAACTGCTGTATTTGCAGAAAAAGCAAATGATATAAATGTTTATAGAAAATATTTTTGAGTCGTCATTTTTATTAGGTGTCAAACGTCTCTTTTTGTTACACTTTTAAAGCGTGCAGATAAACGCAGTGATCCGGCGTCTGACTCGTCGGTAGGCTATCAGACAGATTACGTGACGGTGGGCTGATAAACAGGCTCAGGAGAACAAACGACGCTGAATGGAAAACATCTCTGCAGCCTGACCTCTGCTGAACCGAGCTGCAGCCACTCTACCTCCCTCTGATGTCACGGGGAATTTGGCAGATCGAGTCCTCGAGTTAAAATAGACTCAGTGTGACAGAGAGAGAGAGAGAGAGAGAGAGAGAGAGAGAGAGAGAGACCTTCACTAGAACAATTACAACATGCAGTCCGAGCTCTGCCCACCATGTGTTGGTTTGAAGCCTCCCTAAACAAGGAGCTGCTGCTTCAGTCAACAACTGTTTCTGCATGTTGACATCAGTCCAGTGATTGAGTCCCCTCTTGGTCGCTGTGACAGTCTTTCCTTTGAAGACACTTAACCAGCGTTTATCAAAGTAATTATACGTTATAAGTAGGGTTGCACGCTATTGACAAAACGTGCGATAATGTGCGTCCATACTTTCATGCGGCAGGGCAGCTCGCCAATGAAACATGATCACGTTATAGCAGTTTCAATGGGCTCTAAATCGAACACATGTAAGCCACACAGGCAGCGGACTCATCTGTCCACAAAATAAACTGAATACTGAATAATTCCTGCAACGTTTTCCAGATACTATTGAGAAATGTGCTATTTATTATGGAGTGCAGTAGAAAGTGCAATACTGAAGTAGCAGACTCAGTAGAGTACTAGAGTAAAAGTACTCGGTGTGATTCCTCCCCTGGATTATAGGTGTTGGTAAGGAGGTAACTTTGCACACAGGTGCTTCCCGTCTTAATGCTATAAGAGTATAAGAGGCTAGTTAGCAGGTTAGCGGGTTAGTGCTATCAGTGTGTTTGTGTGGCCGCTGTCTGCGAGCAGGACAGATGACTGACAGCTGTGTGGAGGTGTTTTCTCATAACAGGAAGTGTTTCCAGGTTTAAACTCTCTCTCTCTCTCTCTCTCGCTCTCTCTCTCTCGCTCTGCTGCCAGTCATTTATAGCCTCACTCGTCCAAGTGCGTCACACAGGGATAGTCAGAGGGAAAAATTGGAGGGGGGGGGGGCGCGTATGAATGTAATGTTTCCTGCCAGCTGCAAGGGGGGGGCAGGGAGATGAACAGAAAGACAAACAGTTCGTCAGAGTGCTGAGATGATCGGTTATGTTTCAGCTCAGTATAAAGCAGAAACTACAAAATAAATATCTGATATTCACAGTCGAAGCCCACCAGACTCCACTGAGAAAAGCAGTAATTTTATCGTGAAACGCACTTCAAACTGGACAGAAACCAGCTTGTCCGGGTCGTAGCCAGTTTATGTTACAATTTCAGCGCCTCTGCTGGTGACTCGAGGGTTACTTATTACTGCTGCTGTGTTACAATGCTCTCTCTCTCTCTCTCTCTCTCTCTCTCTCTCTCTCTCTCTCTCTCTCTCTCTCTCTCTCTCTCTCTCTCTCTCTCTCTCTCTCTCTCTCTCTCTCTCTCTCTGTGTCTCAGTCCTCTCAGTGGTTTGAGAGGAGGATTGTGGGAGTGTGTGAGCGGATGATGAGGGGAGGACGGAGGAGGAGGAGGAGGAGGAGGAGGAGGAGAGAGGCTTCATCACTCCGTTCGTCACCGCGGGATGACACTGCTCCACCTGGCTGCTGCACAGGGATACACTCACCTGATACACACTCTGATCCACTGGAGGTAAAAACACATCCACACACACCTGGACTGCAGGTGTTTCAAATTCAAATCAGCTTTATTGGCATGAATGTATAACAACAGTATTGCCAAAGCTACAAATAAATTACATAAGGACAATTAATTTCATACATTTCCTTAAATAAGTTTTGTGTGTTTATAATAATAAAAAATATTTCAAATGAGAATTACTTAAAAATAAATAATATAAATAAATGAAACGGTAAGCGTGTGTGTGTAATAATAGACAGAAATCTGTATCAAATGAGAAATTTAAAAACAAAATACAAATATTAAGGAAAAATTACTAAAATATCAAACAATCAAAATAATAATAATTTGAAAATGAGTACAATTATTTACTGGTTGTCCTCAGTTCGTGGCATAAGGAGACATTCAGCAGCAATTATTTGACATTTGGGCATTTCTGCCAGTAAATAGGGGAGTTTCTGTGTCTGATATAAATTCGAATTTGGGGTTTTGTGATTTGTGAAATGTTTGCATTTTTCTTTGTTGTAGGAGTGTTAACAGCGACAGCCTGGACCTGGAACAGGAAGTCGACCCTCTCAACATCGACCACTTCTCCTGCACCCCGCTGGTAAAACAAACACACATACAGTCACATTCCCAGTCAGAGATCAGGGTCCTCCCCGACAGTAATGATGTGTTCAGGTGCTTCCAGATGTTCAGCGTGTCTGTATGTATGTGTGTTCCAGATGTGGGCATGTGCTCTGGGCCACCAGAGGGCAGCAGAGCTCCTGTACAGCTGGAACAGTTCGGCTCTGGGGATCCCTGATTCGCTGGGGCGCCTGCCGCTCGCCGTGGCCCGATCCCGTGGACACACCCGCCTTGCCGCGGCTCTTGAGGACCTGCACACGCGCACACACATGACGCCCGCGGACACACACACGCCGGCTACGCCTCAGCCACAGCTGCCCCCGTCTCCGCTGTCCACCAGCCCGGACACAGGTAACACCTGCTGCTGATCATCTGCTCCAATCCACTGAAAGTCATGAGATGTGATTCCAGTACTCTGATTGGCTGTCTCCCTTCTCCCCACTCAGGTTTGAGCTCCTCCAGCAGCCTCCCCTCACCCAGCGACCCCTCCTCCCCTTCGCCGAGCTCCGCTTACTCCAGTGGCCCCGCCCCCATGGACACCTCCCCCTCGTCTCCTTCCTCCTCCTCGTCCTCGCTCCCCGTCTCCCCCCCTTCTCCTTCCTCCCTGCCCCTCTCCTCATTTCCTCCAGTGTCCATGTGGGGGGAGGAGCCGAATATCAGGCTCAGCACAGGTAACACAGGTGAGATTCAATTCAGTGACTGGTTCCTGGTACGAGTCCTTGCACTGATTCATTAATCACTGCTGCAGGTTTGAACCCCGGCTGTTCCAGAGACTCTCTTTACCTCATGGACTACGAGAGCACCTGCCCCCCCTCACCCACCCACACGGTGGGCGGGCGGCGGTCGCACACAGCGGCAACGCTGGAGGAGCAGCTGCTGAGCTACAGCGAGAACGCTGAGAACGAAGGCGAGGAGGACGAGTACCTGGAGGAGGAGGTGCTACAGGTACGCACACATTAAAGACATCACATGACATGAGAAGATTGGTAATCCCAACTGAGCTTAGTCTCCGTGTCTAGTCTGAGGATAGTCCCAGAATTTAGTTTCTGTGTTTTGTCCCCACTTCTAGTCCCCGAGGTTAGTCCCAGAATTTAGTTTCTGTATTTTGTCCCCAAGTCTAGTCCCCGAGGTTAGTCCCAGAATTTAGTTTCTGTATTTTGTCCCCAAGTCTAGTCCCCGAGGTTAGTCCCAGAATTTAGTTTCTGTGTTTTGTCCCCAAGTCTAGCTCCCGAGGTTAGTCCCAGAATTTAGTTTCTGTATTTTGTCCCCAAGTCTAGTCCCCGAGGTTAGTCCCAGAATTTAGTTTCTGTGTTTTGTCCCCAAGTCTAGCTCCCGAGGTTAGTCCCAGAATTTAGTTTCTGTATTTTGTCCCCAAGTCTAGTCCCCGAGGTTAGTCCCAGAATTTAGTTTCTGTATTTTGTTCCCAACTCTAGCCCCCGAGGTTAGTCCCAGAATTTAGTTTCTGTATTTTGTCCCCGAGGTTAGTCCCAGAATTTAGTTTCTGTGTTTTGTCCCCAACTCTAGCCCCCGAGGTTAGTCCCAGAATTTAGTTTCTGTATTTTGTCCCCACTTCTAGTCCCCGAGGTTAGTCCCAGAATTTAGTTTCTGTGTTTTGGCCCCACTTCTAGTCCCCGAGGTTAGTCCCAGAATTTAGTTTCTGTGTTTTGTCCCCAAGTCTAGTCCCCGAGGTTAGTCCCAGAATTTAGTTTCTGTGTTTTGTCCCCAAGTCTAGTCCCCGAGGTTAGTCCCAGAATTTAGTTTCTGTGTTTTGTCCCCAAGTCTAGTCCCCGAGGTTAGTCCCAGAATTTAGTTTCTGTGTTTTGTCCCCAAGTCTAGTCCCCGAGGTTAGTCCCAGAATTTAGTTTCTGTGTTTTGTCCCCAAGTCTAGTCCCAGAATTTAGTTTCTGTGTTTTGTCCCCACTTCTAGTCCCCGAGGTTAGTCCCAGAATTTAGTTTCTGTGTTTTGTCCCTGCGTCCCTGGAGTTGATTTCCTAGGCCCACAGTTCCACACGTGCACTAAACTCACACTTCACATATTCAGTAACCACAGATGTCTTGTATTCCTATTGCTATGGTTACCGTCCCCACAACAGGTTGACATGGCAACACTGGCAGAGCAAATCATCGAGGCGACCCCGGAGCGAATCAAACAGGAGGACTTCCCCAGGGGGGCGGAGTCACCGCTGAGAGAGAGGCGAGACAACCCGGCCATCCAGGACACCTGGCTGGCTACATACCTGGACACGGTCGATGCCCACACACACTCCCCGCCCAGGTGAGCCACGCCTGAACAATCCCCTACAGCAGGAGTCGGCAAATAAGTCTGGCATCGGGCCAAATTTACTTCAAGCCGTTACATGTAGGGTCACGAATCTGGGCACCTCACGATTCGATTACGATTCAGAGGGTTGCGATTCTATTATAAAACGATTATCGATGCATCTTGATGCATTATTTTATCTATACAGGATCCCTGGATAATTACTAAGTATTTAATTTGCAAATCCAAATCCAAAAGAAACATCTCTTAATTAGCTTAAAAGGATTAGTTTGCATTCCTAATTAACTTCATTAACCTCAACTCCATGGTCCTTCATTTCTCTAACATCCACATGTCAGACTCTGAAAACTGAAAAATAATTATCAGGATGTTCAGTCTGTGTACAGGACAGAGCTGTACACCAGTTCAGTCTAAGCTTGTAATAGATGTTCTCAACCCTTGACTAGTAGGTTAGTTAGTAATGAAAGACCCCTGATAATGATTTAATATTACTTTACTAATTTAGCTAACATTACATAAATAAATTAATATTTTTAGCGCCTTTCATGGACCCAAAGATGCTTTACACATAGTTGTTGATGTATGTATGTGTGTGTCCTTGCAGGAGGGTGCGTCCCCCTTCGCCCCTCAGTGCACTGGCCCTCCAGAGGCTCCGCCCCCCCTCCTCTGCGGCGTGGGCGGAGTTCCTGAACGCCTCGGCCAATGGAAAAATGGAGAGAGATTTTGCACTGCTGACACTGACGGACGGAGAGCAGAGGGAGCTTTACGAGGCCGCGAGGATCATCCAGAACGCCTTCAGGAGATACAAGGTTCGCACACGCCCACCTTAGGAACCACACCGGGTTGAAGGCATTACTGTTCCCAGTAAATGGTCTGTATATATGTACAGCGCCTTATCAGTCTCATAGAGCTTCACACTACGTCACATTCACCCACATTCACACACTGACGGCAGAGGCTGAGGTGCCAACTGCACATCATAAGCCAGGGATTGAACAACCAATCTTCCGGTTAGTGGACTGCCGCTCTACCTCCACAGCAGCCCCAATATCAGATATTATATCAGAATATTGGATTTAAAATTAAATATCTAACTGGGTATATGTAGTAAAACCCCATATCGGTCAGGCTCCAGTTTTAATAAGTGGGTCCTTGTTTGGTTGTTCTCGTGAGGACGCACAGACACAAGTAGAGTTGGGACCATACGTTTTTATGAGGAAGGAAATACATTCAACGTGATTGTTACCTTACAAACGAGTTTTAGTGAGAAACACTGAACTTTGTTTAGAGGAAACCCTGACATGGAGCTTTGAGTATGATCCTCAGGTCTCTCCACTGTCCGTTGTGTGTGTTTTCTGAAACAGTGGATTCCACTCTGCCCCCTAGAGGCTTGTGCGCAGGAACCTGATGGATCAGGTCTGTTTTTATAACAGTACTGGTTCCTGTGTGTCTGTAGGGTCGGAGGTTAAAGGAGCAGCAGGACATGGCTGCAGCCGTCATACAGAGATGCTACAGGAAATACAAACAGGTGTGTGTTCATGAGTGTGTGTGTTGGATTGCGCAGTTTGTCCTCCAGCTTCACTAACACTGAACTAACCTGCTGTGTCTCTTCACCATCTCTCTCTTTCTCTCTCTCTCTCTCTCTCTCTGGCTAGCTAACATGGATAGCTCTGAAGGTAATATGGCTGACTAGTAGATGTAGTGGTGTGTAGTCAGTGTGAGTGTGTTTGTGTGTGTTGAGTCTGGACAGCAGCCATAAGACCACAAACAGGTTGTGTTTCCTGTGATGTGAATCTTCCCCATGACGCTCACTTTTATTTTTATAGAGCCGTTAATAATTTATTACTGTTGGTATCAGATTATCTCAAGTTAATGAACAGGATATCTGGTCTCAAAGCCAAAAGTATGTGGACAGCCGAAGATCATGTGTGTGCATAGTTAACATTACTCTTTGCCAACATCTTGTTTAGCCCTGAATGCAGCACAGTGTTGTTTACTGACAACGAAGACGAACATATCTCCTTCATGTACGTTGTCGCTTTTCCACCAGGCATGCTAAATGCTAACGCTCCCGGCAGGAATTCAGAGCAGAAAAGGCAGTGTTGTTATAACATCAGATGCCAATAAGAAGAAGTTCTGTATGAGATATAAAGCAATTAATCTTCATTTTAATCTGTATTTTAAGAATTGTGAGGATTTACAGTGTGGACAGTTTTATTACTTGGAGAAAATGTGACATGTTAAGTGTAATTAATACTTCTGCGTCGAATCGATGGCGTAGCCTCTGCGTAGCCCCGTAACCTACGCAGTCACCTACGCCATAGCCTGACGTGCACCTCCTCAAAAATGTAACAAAAAAGAAAAAAACATGTTGAGGTGACCCGGACCTTAAGCTCTGAGTTTGGTCAGCTGGGTAGTCTCGCAATGCCTCCGAGCCAACAGGAAGTGCCCATGCTTTCAAGTAACAACCCGAGCGAAATTACTTGTTTCACTATCTGACTGTGATCCATTCGGTCGATAACATTTGAAAACGCAATACCAGCCGCACATATACAGTTTTACCCCCATTCACGTTAGCGGTTAGTAAGCCTGCTCGCCCGGCAACAGTCAACACAGTGGACGCTGTAGCGCTACTGCCGACTAGCGTTTGGGGGTGTAATTGCAGAATGACGAACACACCGATGCACAAGTATATATGCATGGCTACGTGCGTAGACCTGATGCAGGAGTATAAATGGGCCATTATGACAAATAATAAGGAGAATAAACTGAAAATATCTGGTTTCAAGCCACAGACAGAGATTCTTTCAGTCTGAAGGAAGGAAACGGCTGCCCTGTGTTTTGTCTCTAGCTTTAGTAGAAGGGAAAGTGTGTTTATGATGTCGGGTGTTTCTGTAAAACTGCAGCATGTTGGAGAATAAATTTTCAGCTTGAACAACAGCCGCTCTGGTTGTTGAGATGAAGCTTCCAGTACAGGGCAAAAACTTGTGTAGCGTCATTGAGATGTCCTCCTGTTGGACCTTAGGGCCCTAAGACTGGACAGTGTCCACATACTTTTGTCCAGGTAGTGTACTTGTGACGCGTGCAGGTGAGTCCCAGATTCAGAGGGAGCTTCATCTCTAGTTTGTCTTGGCACGTTGTGAGACGTTGTGTTTGTCCTCTGGCTGTACATGGGCCCTAACAGCAACTCCGTCTCCTCAGTACGCGCTCTATAAGAAGATGACCCAGGCAGCCATCTTGATCCAGTCCAAGTTTCGGTCTTACTACGAGCAGAAGCGTTTCCAGCAGAGCCGGCGGGCGGCGGTCCTCATCCAGCAGTACTACCGCAGCTACAAGGAGTACGAGAGGCTCAAGCAGGGTCCGAGAGGGGCCTCCGGACACAACACCAAGATCAAGTAAGACCTCATGGATACATCAGCACAGTAGCACATCATCTGCATACAAACACATGTCGACACAGCCAGACGTCATCTTGTGGGTTGGCACAGAGAAAATGTTGATCACTGTGTGGAAGTGTGTTTAATGACTTTTATTTAGCTGTGTAATTTGTAGATAGTTTGCACAGTTTGTGGGGGGGGGATGGGGAGTAAAGGTTCATAAGTTCTCGTAGTGCAGTAGACCTGTTTTTAAAAAATACATTACTACACTTGTCAGATCATCATGGCGCTTTCCTCTAGCGGTCATCATCAGGTCAAAGTTTTAATTAAACCAACACTTTGGGTTCTGAAGAACTTATCACATTCCCATCAGCCTCAGCTGTACTCTGCTAATTAGCTAATGTTAGCATGTTAACAGGCTAAACCGAGATGGTGAACATGGTAAACGTTACGCCTGATAACCACAAGGAGGTGAGCGAGAGTTCGAACATGCAACATGCGTGCCGTTAGCACAAAGCATGGCCGTGTTCCTCACAGCTGCTACAGCTTTGTTCAAACTTCACTAACGTGTTTTGTTTCACCGTTATATAAACTTGAAGCTAACGAGCTAAGCTCCTGTTCCTCTGGAGACGGGTGACGCTGCTGTGTAAATTCAAACTTAGCCTCGTGCTAACGTCAATGTTACTAAGTGGAGTTTTATTATCACCTCACTAACCAGTTCTGATGTAGATATTAGTTGTTATAAATATTTACAGCCGCTAACTGCCAGGAAATATTCATCATTACCAACAGATATTGATCGCTGCCAGCACATCCCGATTACGGCCAGAGCTTCTTGATTCCTTCCAGTAGATACTGATGATTGATTGTAAGCAGCAGATATTGATTTTGTTCCCATCAGGGGGTCTTTCTTGACGAAGAAACAGGACCAGGCGGCGAGGAAGATCATGAGGTTCCTGAGACGCTGCAGACACAGGTAACACACACTCGTTTTACAGTTTGTTGTGTTACAAACGTGAATGAGTCTTTTTCCTTGTGGACATTCTTCTCTTGTTGCATATTTTAATGTTCTTGGTGAGATGGTGCCGTCGCCCGTGTTCACGGTCTCATCTTTGTGTCGTTCCCAGGATAAAAGAGCTGAAGCAGACGAGGGAGCTGGAGAGGAGAGGGCTCACCACTTAAACCGTGTCTTCATTTCAGCTCCTGGAGAGGAGAGACGGACGAAGGATGGTTGATCTCGTTGTCTTTTGGCAGGTTTACTCTGATGTACAAAGGGACGGAAACGCAACAGACATGATGGAGAGATGCCTTATCCCACCCCGGCTCTTCTTTCTTCCTTTCCTCCGCTTCCTTTGATCGATCGATCTATATATCTAATGTCTTCTCTCATGGTTGAATGTAGCTGTCTGTCTGCAGCTTAAAGAGCTTTTTAATAGTGTCACACCGTCCTATAGACTCGTTCTCCAGGCCTTTCTCAGCACAGAGTAGTTCTACGCTACGGACCTGGGGCTCTGCAAGTTCAACTCGGGACCCCAGACTTCAGCACTCAAAGGTCCACTTGCAGATGTTTTGGAGGGAAAAGTTTTCAGCTACTTTGACTTGTGAGAAGCAATCAAACAAAATTTTACCTCACTGCCTCCATTCATTTTCATTTAAATATGTTTGATGAGACTGACGAGGCGTTCAAGGAGCCCACAGTGGCAGCTCTAGAACATGAAACATGAAGCTTGACTTCAGCACTAGATTTACACTCCAAGACCAAGTTTATCCTCCACGAGCAATTATATATTGATATAAATACACAGATGCAGTTCAGCTCTCTGCATGTTTATTTCAAGTTCAGTATTTTCAGCAGTGCAGGCAGTGATTCTCAGCTGTCGTCAATCAAGCGCATTTTCTTGTTCTTTTTTTTTTTCCTTTAAAGATCGTTTAGGGCTCTTTGTCTTGATTACACAGTCGATAGTGGAGAGGCAGAGGCATTTGGCTACCAGGACGCTCCATCATGCACATTTTTTACATGCACATACAGTATTTATTCGACATCAGAGTCGGCGGTGAAAAACCAAAGTGCCGAGATAAGACGGTTCTCCTGAAGATGACGACGGGTCCTCGCATCAACGTTGGAGCAAAAAGACCTAAATCAGCCACGTTTGAAATTTAAGTGTTTACTTTCTCTAAAAACTTAATTTGGTGACATAATAACACCCGTAGGACCAAAGTGACAGCAGCTCTGTGCCTGTTTACCTGTCTAAAGTCAGCATCACCTGTGGTCATTTGGTCTGGACCTGTTTTGATCTGGACTTTCAATGTGTTCTGAGACCGATGCCGTTTCACAAGAGCACGGGGACGCAGTTTGAGAAAGGCCTTTGGGGAAAAACCCTAACTCAACTGATCTCTCCTGGGAGGCACAGCTCAGGGCAAACCAAGACCCAGGAGTGTCTACGTCTGTTCCCTCCTGCCCACAATTTACTGCTGTTTTCCTGCCAAGGTCGGGAGACGAGAACTAACAGGACAGTGTGTTTGAGGGTCACCTGAACAAAGAGATTTCAGACTGAGGTCAGAAATTCCTTCAGAAGTCTGAATGTTTGCGGGTCGTCACATTTTGGAACGGGGAGTCTACACGCTGTGTACTTCAAAATGTATATGATTATAAAGCTACTATAAATATATTTAAACAATCACATATATAAACATATATATATATATATATTCTATTGTTGGACTTTATAGATGCTATGGGTGTTTTTATTTATTACAGCATGAGCCGCTAATGTGAGTTTGTGTGAGTGTGTGTGCTGCACAGACTGTAAGGTCGAGTCTTAAGGAACCCTGACCTCTGACCTCTGACCTCTGACTCTACACAGACAAAACGAATCAATCAAAAAACACTGTTGCAAGTTTTGTTCGATACGTTTACATATATCGAGCAGCAGCGGCTTTAAACTTCACAGTTGAGATCAGAATGGGTGAAAATGCACTTTCAGTTTCTGCGTGAAACTTAAAGATCGAAGCTGCTGTTCAAACACTGTAGTTCACAAAGCTCATGGAGGGAAATTGATGTTTGAAAACGGTCGGAAATCACACTCAGAGTTGTTTCTCGGTAAGAAAGACATGTTGGAAGGAAATGATCTCTCTTATGTCCTTTCGGATAAAAACATCCAGACTTCCACTTAGAGATCAGCCTAACAAGACGTCACGTTTCCTTCCTTCAGCGTCATCCCTCCGCTGAGTCGACAGGTCGTTGCTTCTTTGCTGATGATGGGTCAGAGGTCAAGCCGGGGTTCCCTTCAAACTGTTTTTTAATTCATCCAGAAAGTTTTTAGGATAGCGGCGACGGACGACGCAGCGGCCTCAACGGCACTTTGCTACGAGCAACAAGTTGCTCCAGAACATTTCCTGCCACTGCTCCTTTTTTTTCATTTTTAAGCAGAGGCTGATTGATGCTGTGCTTTTGTCACAGCGACCACAACGGGGCTAGGGCCAAGCACGAGCCGTCCTCATAACGAATTGTTTGACAGAGTTGGTCTTTGGCTTGTTTTCAAAAGATTTCTTCTTCTTTGGCTGCTGCAGTGAAGCTTTGCATGAGTTTGTATTTAATTGTTTCGCATTTTAAGACCTTTAAGATGAAATACATTATTCTACAAGTCAGACGAATAAATCAGCTGTTTGCTATTTGTCTCGTGTTTTTGTTTCTTACTGGGTGAGGGCCAACCACACAGTTACAGAGAGCCGCACAACAGCCACAAGAGACGCTAAATGACCACAGAGATGTTCAAAGAGATGCAAGTCTCTGCTGGTTCTCTCGGCTAATTTCTGCAGTAATAAATGCTGTAGGCAAACCTAAAAATCTGATTCCTATGCAGTATGGAAAGGAACGGGGTCGGCAGCGTTTTCAGACTTCTCCGAAACAATATGGGGAGAACAATATAATAATTATATTTATAGGTTTCAGTTTACTTTGTCTATTGGATGAGATGTTCGACAGCGTCAGAGTGTCGTCTAACCTTCTGTGTAGTAGTTTAAGCTAAACAGCTTATTTCACTTTGTAAATTAGTACACTATGAAGGTCTAGGAGGACATTACAACAGAGAAAAACAGCATAATTACCTCGTGCAGATGTATGTGTAGGTTAGAGGACACTGACAAACACGGAACTGAGTTCAATTCGATTTTATTTATATAGCGCCAATTCACGACAGCAGTTGTCTCATAGTGCTTTTCATAAAAGAGCAGGTCTAGACCGTACTCTATGATGTTATTTACAGAAACCCAACAGTTCCCACCAAGAGAGACGACAGAAGAAAGGAAAAACTTCCTTTTAAGAGGCAGAAAGCTCGAGCAGAACCACGGCTCAAGGTCGACGGCCTGTTCAGTCAGGTTCTTCTGTAGTACGTTGAACAGCTGGTATTTTAGCCATATGTGTGTGCGTACAAGTTTATTAAAACCCCTTGAGATGAACCATCTTGTTTTCGAGGAGATCCTGATACAACAAAAAGGGACAAATCTGACCCAGAACATTTTAGTGTGTGATGTTATGTTGTGTTCAAATAACTGAATAAAATGTTACTCCACACTAATGTTACTCAGCATTTAGAGCGAGAACAAGAGAGAGAAAGCAATGACTTTGATCAGCATATTTATATATTATCACTGTTCCTCAGTGTTCAGTCAATGCTGCACAGACAGCCGCCGCAAATAGGCGCGAGAACAACATGACAGCAGTTGCCTCTCTGCTCCGGGATGCTTTCCTCTAAAGCAGCTGTGAGCTGCACTTTATCAGAAATTAACATCTGTGTGTAGTTGCGGCGAGACTTTGTTGATATATTATGACTTTAGTTTATCACTGAGGTAGGAAATCTGCTGCCTGAGCAACGGTAACTAAGGGGCGGGGCGAGACTCCGTGACATCGCGAGAACACTCCGCGGGATCCCGCAGCGCTCCTGTTTCTCAGCCTGAAGAGCTCCGAGACCAGAATCCAGATTCGGTCCAGGACAACACGGTCCACCAGTCACAGCGGAGACCTGCAGGACGATGGAGAACCAGAACCCGGACCGCAGGAGCCAAACAGCAGCCTCGTGCTCTGATAGCACCGATGTTCAGGTCAGTGTTCATGACTTCATCACGAGACTAAAGACACGAGGAAGAGTCTCGAGGGTCCGTGTATCATCCGTTCATTCTGTTGTTAGAGATCAGAGCCTGAAAACCCGCTCCAGGGTTTGTGTTGACGTGGTTTGATTTCCAAAGTGTCTCCGTGATTCCTGTTTTCATCTTGAAGAGAGGAAGCTGAAAGAAAAACTCACGAGCGTTTCTCTTTTCTTTGTGATGTTGGGTTCTGCACATGCGCGTGCAGCACGTGTCATGGCGGAGTGTCGTGGTGAACCTTCACTGTGGCTTCACCGCTTGTTTTGGGGATGAAGTGGTTAAATGTCTTCATGATATCTCAGTCTCGGAGTCTAAGATGGGACAGACAACAACGTGGTCCTTTTCCAGCACCTCCCAAAATATCACGTAGAATGACGTACCAGCACCTGTCTTGATATATGGACACTCACTGCAGGTTGATCATGAAACACAAACTGATAATAAGAAAGACAGACAGTCTGCAGGGTTGTGCAAAATCTTGACGTTGGTTTTACATGTGCAAAAATATGTATTTCATGATCATACTGCATTGTTGATGAGGCCAGCTACAGACAGACCAGAAACCTCTTGTGATATCAGGTTTCGGTCTTGTGTGTCTAGGGCTGGGGCGATTTTGTTAACGTAAACGATTACGTAAACACTAGAGCTGACCTAAATGTCTTTAGTCGATAGTAATTAAGAGCGAATAATCGAAGCTTCGCTCATAAAGTTAATGAATGCAAATTTACACTTGTTAAAGCACTTTAACTTGTTTTTGAAAAGTGCTCTACAAATAAAGATTATTATTATTATTATTATTATTATTATTATAAAATGTAAGAAATTTGACTGTTCTGATTTACAATGAAATTTTAATAAAATTAATAAACACCATAACTGCCACGCTGCTGCTGTCATCACTCAGTTTAAAGTGCTCCCACACAGCTGAGAGCTTCATTTTGTTTTCCCTTTGATGTGAACTGGAGTGTTGCGTCCACTGCTGTCGGCAGAGGTCAGGCGTGTGGGGGAAAAAAACTTAATAATCGAATGTGTGCGCAACGGTCGAATATTCGGGTCCGGCCCTAGTAAATGCGTCAACTCGCATTACATGCGTCGCTGCATCCGGCGATAGTGGGATGCAGCGACGCAGCTACCTCAGACCGTTTGCACAATAAAAAAAACATGCAATGCCATTTAAATATAGAAGAAACAAATGTGCATTGTCCAAAAAAAGTTTCTTAAGCTAAAAAAACAACCTGCTGAGTACTGCATTATATTCTGTTTGAATTGTCATCTGAATCACTTTATTTAAATATGACTATTCTGCCATCAATTGGTGCAGAACATTTCTCCAGAATGCAGGAAATTAAGTGTTCAGTGCTCAAAATTTTCTAGGGGACCCCCAGACCCTCTATTTATATATTTCAGCATTGAATATTTCATCAAAATGGTGTTGAAATATCTTCGTCTTGTTGTCATGAACCCAATATTGTAAATCGTGCAAGTGTATCGTCACACCTCTAATTTGAACCTCTGTCCCTACCACTTTTCAACAGAAAGTGACGTCCTTGATTCATATCAAACTACAAACACCCCAAAAAGCTATAGTGTATTATAATAAAATGTTTTATTAAATTTATCTAACTGTAAATAATTTTCTCGGGCTTAAAATTCATACAGATTTTGCATTATACGGCAGCAAAGTTGGTATTGAATTTCATCCAAGGTGGTATTAAGGTCTTAAAGTCTTAAATTTAACTTTGAGAATTCCGTGGGTACCCTGAAGAAAGCACTAAGAATGGGAAATTTGATATGGGCTCATTAGTGACCTGTCTAGATTGTTCTTTTTTTTTTTTTTTTTTACCTGAGAGGAGAGACATGTTGACAATTTGTAGTAAATCTGAGGCCATGCATTTAGACACATTTTTGAAAAAACCTGTTGGCAGAATATCGAGGCAGCATGAGGAGGATTTCAGATGTTGTATTATGTCCTCCAGGTTTTTATGGTTAATAGAATCTAATTGTCTCATGCTATATGAATTGTTTTTAAGTGGACACAGGGACAAGACATATCCTGTTACTGACATGGAGGCACTGATTGCTTGTCTAATTGTTTGAATTTTGTCTGTGAAGAAGGAGGTAAATTCATTGCAGGCCCTGGTGGATAGAAGTTCAGAGGCTACAGACACAGGAGGGTTGGTTATCCTGTCGACAGCAGAAAACGTGCATTATTAGTGTTTTTGGTGATGATGTCAGAGAAGAAGGACCGCCTTGCATTTCTCAGTTCTAAATTATAAATGCGAAGTCTCTCTTTATAGATGTCATAATGAACCTGGAGATTTGTTTTCCGCCACCTGCGTTCAGCTTTTCAACACTCTTTTTTGAGTTCTAACCAGCGTGGCATTTCTCCATGGAGATCTTCTCTTACCAGAGACCACCTTCACCTTGGCTGCTGCAATGGCATCAAGAACATTTGTAATTTTAGAACTGAAATTATCTACAAGCTCATTGACTGAGACCTGTGAGAGGGCGGGTGTTGAAGAGAAAGCCTCAATAAATTTTTCACTAGTGTTTTCAGTGATATGCCGTTTTGTGATCACCTCTGTTTGTACATTTGTGTGCACGCAGATAGCACTCTCAAAGAAAACACACAGTAATGATCAGAGAGCAACATCCTCCAGACCCTTGGAGATGACCAAAGTGTGACCCTTATTGTGCGTGGGCTTCGTCACATGTTGAGTCAGTCCATAATTATCAAGAACACAACACAGTTAGTTAGTCCCTCTGTCCTGGGGGTTGTCAACATGGATTTTAATTATATTCAGTATTCAAAAGTATTTCTTAAACGATGCTTTGAGTACTAAAATCAGCATTAGCTGCAGCCCCACAGGCTAGTGCTCTTGATAGGCCACACTCGCGTAGCACTGAGATCATAAGTGTTTAAAATATGGCAATAGAACTATGAATTGTTATCGGTATCACTTTAAGGGTACTGGTTTTGGCACTGGTATCGTAAAATTTTAAGTGATAATCAACCCTAACAGTGGCACTGGGGCTGATGATGTGCAATTACTAAAACTGTTTACAGTTAATCTTGCACTGCATCAAAGGGACAATAACTCCCTTAAAATGTTTGAGGTACAGAGGAGCCTAGTATTTATTTTCATTCTTTAGAGACATTACACAAGACTAATAAGGTAAGCAGAGTTGTAAAAAATCTTGAATGTTCCTGTAGTTACGCAGTATTATTAGGCAGGTAGCAGGGATCGTCTGAGCTACAGAGAGAGCTGGAGGTGAGTAAAAACTGTTTTGCAGTGAAAAAGTAGCTGCCTGCTCTCATCGGCTGGATGTGGATGTTGAGTCAGCCAACTCTTCAAAATATTTGGCGTGCTAGATATCTGGCAGATGTCGGCAATGTCTCAGAGAGCTGTTTTGATGTGTCATTGTGTAGTTCACACATAACGACTGGCGAACGCTGATTTACCCCCGATCAGATCCAGACGGTCGCAGAGCTCGACGAGCGGCAAATCGGGCTAAAAATCGTGTAGCGTGAACTAGGCTTTAACTTATCTAACACAGATAATCACTGTCTCATTTTAAAATGATGTGTTCCTATGAGGACCGCCTTCAAGTGTGTTGTCTGTGTCCGCACAGAGGTCGCTGCTGGAATGCGCAAGTTTTATTTTGTGCACATGCATATGAACGCATGTTCATGCACGCTGCGGTTATCTTTACCGAGCTAAAGTTTATAAGCACTGTTGCCCATCAGAATTTATCAAACGTAATAAATAGTTGCTGCCGGGAGCTGCCTAGCCTGGTCAGCAAGACAGTCTAGAGATATCAGGGTTCCTGTGACTCCTTAAAAAGTCTTCAAATAAAATCAGGGGAATTAATCGTGTTATATTGACTGTAAATTTGCTGTAGGTATTAAATTTGCCGATGGTGCATTTAAGGCTGAAGAAAAGAAAGTGCTAATTTGTTCGTGATTCAAATCAATTTAATCAAATATTTATTGAACACTTGTTAATTTGTTGAGGAAAATTGTATCAGGATAATTATCATTATTGTTTTATTGCCCAGCCCTAGTTTCCATTAATAAACGGACACAATCAGTTCTCCAAAAACATGATCAATAATCGGCGCTATTTGAGCAGGTTAATGCACAACACTGAATGGACAAACTTTCTAGGCGCCTGTCTGCGCTGTCAGACTTTTGTATTTATTTGCAGAAGATTGCGACCGGTACATATTTCCGCCCAAGTAGTTGTATGTTAATTGACAACGCATTTACATCCATGTGGTCATGGTGTCCCTGACCTCCAGAGGTCATCTTGCTGATCGGATCACAATCTGTCCTCAGTGCGTCTTGGTTGCATTTACACGTGTACTTTCATGTGGTCAAGTGCTACCCGGTCACAATCTGATCACCCAAAAAGCATTTTAATGCAGCTTCTGTGCCCTGATTCGGAATATGCAAAGTCATTCACCTGTGGTGACAATATATAAAATGACATTGCCTTGTTTATTAAAAGAGAACACACATCTCTTTTCTTTCAAAGCAATTTTCTCAAAATTGAGAAGAAAGTTTTTTCTTTTCTTGTACCCAAAAGGATAAAGTTTCCTTTTACATCTTCTCATCAAAACATTAAACTGGCTTTCACCTTTGACACGAGAAGCTCCAGCTGCCGTGTGTTGATTAGTCTGCAAGAATTTGTTGTGAAGTTATTTATTCCTGTGCACTGAGTAAATAGATGTGTGATGATGTATTGTGTTCAAATAACTGAATAAAATGTTACTCCACACTGTTACCCAGCACTTAGAAAGAGAGAGAACATGCAGTGGTTCATGGACTGCTTAATTGTCACAGCAATGACTTTGATCAGCACACTTAAATATTATCACTGTTGTTCGTCAGTGTTTACTCAATGTATTTGTTACACAGTTAACAGTCTGTCACAAATTATCGAGAGGCATAATAAAGCATTTCATTCTGTCCTTTTCTCTGTATTTCTGTTTATATAGAAGCTGAGGGGAAGAGAAAGACTCACACTTCACCGCTGTCAGCACTGTGACAAATCCTTCGCAACATCTAGATATTTAAAGATTCATCAGAGAGTTCACACTGGAGAGAAACCGTACAGCTGTGACCAGTGTGGGAAAACTTTCACTCAACCTGGTAACCTAAAAGTGCACCTACGTGTTCACACTGGTGAGAAGCTGTACAGTTGTGACCAGTGTGAGAAAGCTTTCAGTCAACCAGGTCACCTAAAAGTGCACCTACGTGTTCACACTGGAGAGAAACCATACAGCTGTGACCAGTGTGGAAAAGCTTTCACTACATCAAGTAACCTAGAAATTCACAGACGTGTTCACACTGGAGAGAAACTGTACAGTTGTAACCAGTGTGAGAAAGCTTTCAATCAACCAGGTCACCTAAAAGTGCACCTACGTGTTCACACTGGAGAGAAACCATACAGCTGTGACCAGTGTGGAAAAGCTTTCACTACATCAAATAACCTAGAAATTCACACACGTGTTCACACCGGAGAGAAACCGTACAGGTGTGACGAGTGTGGGAAAGCCTTTACTCAGTCAGGAAGCCTAGAAAGCCACAGACGGGTTCACACTGGAGAGAAACCATACAGCTGTTACCAGTGTGGTAGATCTTTCACAAGATCAGATGTACTGAAGTTGCACCGCCTTGTTCACTCTGGAAAGAAACCGCTCTGCTGTGACCAGTGTGGGAAAGCTTTCACTACATCATGTGACTTGAAAACACACATACGCGTTCACACTGGAGAGAAACCGTACAGCTGTGACCAATGTGGAAAAGCTTTCACTACATCAGGTCACCTAGAAACCCACCGCCGTTTTCACACTGGAGAGAAACCGTACTGGTGTGAACAATGTGGGAAAGCTTTCACAACATCAAGTCAACTAAAAACCCACCAACGTGTTCACACTGGTGAGAAACCGTACTGGTGCGAACAATGTGGAAAAGCTTTCACTACATCAGGTCACCTAGAAACCCACCGACGTGTTCACACTGGCGAGAAACCCTTCTGGTGTGAAAAATGTGGGAAAGCTTTCAATACATCAGGTCAATTAAAAATCCACCAACGTGTTCACACTGGAGAAGAACCGTAAAACTGTGACCAATGTGGGAAAGCTTTTACTTCGCACTGCATTGTTCTAAACACATTATCATGTGACTGTGATGCAGTACATTGACTCATTTGGCAGACACTTTTATCCAAAGCGACTTATATTTGAGGAACAACATACAAGCATCAACAGAGCATCAACTACACATCTACAACTGACAGTACATACTAGTAAGAGCAGCAAGAAATACTAGTAAGAGCTCACAGTACATATCACATCAATGGGGTAGATACCTAGGGGAAAAACTATGCCTTTGGTGTGAGAGACCCGGGTTCAATCCCCCACTGTGACCCATCCACCATTGTGTCTCTGAGCAAGACACTCAACCCCTCGTTGCTCCAGTACGACCTCTGACATGTATAGCAATTGTAAGTCGCTTTGGATAAAAGCGTCAGCTAAACAAATTAGTGACTTGGCCATGGGTAGCAATGGTCACTCAGTATTGGAGTGAAATGAGTCCTTTTGGGCTCATCAAAATTTGATGAAAATGGATGGGTTTGGATTTGTTTAGAGTACCTACACACCCAAATTCTGCCAGCTCTCTCCCTGCATTTAAAAGATGCAGCAAAGGACTGCACAGGACAACCAGAGTAGGGGCCGTGGCCTTGTGACAGAGTTGTGCCTGAGGTGGGGGGTAAACGGACAACGACCAGCCAGTGACAGACTGAGCACTGCTCAGCGTTAGGGCTGGGTATCGTTCAAAGATTTTTAAATGTTGTGCATTAACCTCTACTTCGATACGGTTCCTGAATGATACTTTTTCCGATACCAATTTTATTCTCAACAAACGGAGAACCATTGTTGTTTGTATAAAGTAACTTAATTATCACATTATTATCATTAATAGTTTATTTTAATACGTGTTCCTTTAAAAAATGCTACTGCTTGTCAAAACCAAGACATATTTTCAATGTAACATAGACCTATATTCTGTTTTTGTTGTTTTTATTCCTTTCTTTATTTTTTGTTTTTTCATTGTTTATTAATTATATATTTTTTATTGTTTATATGTCAGTTTGTGCTCTGACAACATTGCAACCTAAACATTGATGGCAATAGGCCTGAGAGAAAGAGAGAGAAATCTCTCATCTCATGGAAAAAATATTCAACAAAGAGGTAGTATATGACGCTTGTATTTAGACTCATTTATTACAGATGTGTTGCCCATGGTCAAGACTAAACTTCACGCTTGATGAAATATTGCTTCATACATATATTCTTGTTTGAGCTGTAGTTAAACACATTTTCATTAAATAATCTGTATTTTATAGATATATTCACTGCTTTTATTTTGTATGAATGTGGTTTTGTTCAGACTGAAATCAGTTGGTGTAACACCCAACGTTAACACCCTCTGGACCTGTGGACTGAGCCCCAGCGGACGTTCAGGTTTATAAAAGAAGGGTGCAACGGGTACAGAATATGGTGTTAAACAGGCCTTGGGGCTAAATTAAGGCTGCAGTATCAATAACAAGATCGTTTCAGTCCGTCATGTTTATCGATAAGCACAGAAAGCGTTTTGGGCTGATTTCACTGTCATTTTTAAAACATGGACATGCATTTAAGTCCAAATTTATCCCAATATAGACAAACACTGTCAAAAGTTTATTACCAACAATTATGGTGGCCTAGTGTTAAAATGAAATGTAAAAAAAATACACGTTTACTGACACTGGTTATCCAGGACGGCCATTGTTGAGACCAGATTACCCAGAGAGACCCAGTTAAACCAGTTTCAGGATTCATTTCTGATTTTGATTCCACACACATGGAATCATTTTCATTTGCTGAATCGTCATGAAGACTCTGACAGCCCATTTACACCTGCTATTAAAATGTTATTTGTATCCAGATAAGTTATCCAGAGTCCAAGTGTTGATCTTACCTTTGCGTTTACACCTTGTATTTTTAATGCCTTCTCATTATCCACATTGAGTTCGGATCTCTGTCCTCCAGTGCGTGAGTACTTTGAGGTGGCGGGAAATCATCTGTAGTTTGTCAACATGGCAGGTGTAGGATCATTAGAGATGCTATTACTGTACCGCCTGTTTCTACTTTTTGTCTGTCGCGGAAGGGGTCATTTTCAACGTTTTTCTATTAGGTGCAAACAGAAAAGACAACAGGCCCTATTTGCAGCTGTTGTTATTGCGGCTACTGTGAATGCCACAACAGTGAACCGGTCTTTGTGGGTGAGAGAACGGAGTAATGAGTGGTGGGAACGTATTGTCTTGGGGTCTTTTGGCGAAGATGACTGGATGGCAAACTTCAGAATGAGCCGACATTTGTTCGACAACATCTGCGAAAAGTTCTCATCTCTGGAATAAGTACAGCAACTGTATGCCACAGAGTCTACCAAATTGCCAGAGCGCTACGGCCTGTGTTTGTTCACTGCATTTAACTGCCCAAGGGACAAGGGCTTTGGGACATGGTGACCGCCTTTTAGGAGCGCTGGAGGTTCCCTCAGTGTGTGTGTGGCGTAGCCCCACATCATAACGCGACTGCCTATTTCAACAGAAAAGGTTGCCACTCGGTTGTGCTTCAAGCTGTTGTTGACCACCAGTATAGGTAAATATGAATGTCTCTAGGTCTCTAAAGTTCATCTAGGCCTACGTAACACAGCTTTTTATAACCTAGCCAAACCGCTAGCCAAGACTCCTGCTGCATAGATTATTAAGGGGAAGGAAAGAGGTGTTTACTCCAGACAAAATAGAACGATCAGGAATACTTCAACTACCGCCACAGCCAAGCTCGTATGACTGTGGAGTGTGCTTTTGGTCAACTCAAAGGACAATGGAGATGTTATTTTTATGTTCAAATCTTGCAAGTTCCACATGTAACAACGTGCTGCATTTTGCACAATTTTTGTAAAATTCATGCACAATGTTTTGATGAAACTTAGATGGAATCAGCCCATGAACATACACCCAATGACTCTGATCTCCCCCAACCCAGAGAGGCTGGGCCACATGCTGTCAGAGATGTACTGACCAGGCTGTTTTCTCAGCAGAGAGGACGTCAGTGACTGTCCACACTGAAGTAAATGTAATGAAAATGAGTGCAAAGTAGAGTCTTGATGGACACACAATGCATTTTACACACTGAACAGACATGACTGCATGTGATTTCTATATATGATCTAATGCTTTTACATTTTCACAGATTTAGTCACTCAATTTTTGTGTTATTGAAACTAACTTAAAGTTAAAATTTTTATTATATATAAATTCACAGTATTTCCACTCTAGCTATTTTGTTAAATTATCTTTTTGTGCAGTCCATTTTCACTTGCAAATTGAACAAAGTTACATTGGTAAACGGATGCATAAACTACTGGCAAACTTACTTACACTGAATAGATAAAAGCTGGAAAGCAAACCTTTATAAATGGGAGAAAAACACTTAAACAAAACCATCTATTCTCTGAATATATACTTATACTTGTTTATTGCAGCATCCTTTCCACTATGCCTCATTGCACTGTGTATATGTGTGCATGTATATGTACCTGTATATCATATCCACCTCTGACATGTACATATACCTTTGCACTCTGCTCACTGCACTATTTGTCAGTATGTCTATATTGTGTGTATATTTGTGTTGTCTACACTGAAGTCTGTGTCTGATTTAATCTTATTTTCATTATTGTGATTTTGTATTTTTGTATGTGTAAGCACATCGTGAGCAATGTACAATCCAGAGTCAAATTCCTTGTATGTGTACACATACCTGGCAATAATCATTTATAGTTCAAAACAGTTGCAAATGTGCCAATATTATGTGTATTATATGTGCTAATATTAAAATATTTCAAATATTAAAGAACAGCAAGTATTAAAACTGCAAGTCAGAAAATATACAACATTTAAATCAATCTCATGAAGAACATCCAAACAACTTAAGATACCTTTGACTACTAAATGCTAGCCAGAGTACGGACAATCTCTTCGTCCTCTTTTTCTTCCTGTGGCTTTGGGTTGCGTTGAGAAGGTGACACAGGTGGAGGGTTATGCACTGCCACTGGGGGTTCAAACTGCCCCAGAAGTTGGAGGAAGGACCGTTTGGTGCCCTGATCATGGGAAGGTGGTTGGTATTGGAGTCCACGGTGCATGTACGGATGCAGGAAAGGAAGTTGGGTCTGAGGTGTGAGAAAGTGTTGCTGATGGTGCTGTGAATTTTGGACTTGTGTGGTTATAGACTGCTTTAAAATTCCAAACATAGCTCTCTCATGCAGGCTTTTACAGTTCAGTGTAGCCACCTTTTTGTTGTTTACATGCAAACTTGCTAGTTCTAAGAATCCATGTAACATAAGGCCTAAGACAATTTAAAATGACCCACCAGCAGTCTGAGTATTTATTGGTATTATAATGTGTTTTGGGCAAAATGTTTTACTGGATTGGATGGTCTGGTCTGTATGCATTGATTGTTTATTGATGTGGTGATTGTATCTTGAATATATGCCACCACATTACCAGGAGTGACAAGGATAACGGTGCTTTATTTCCAATGCAGGGCCGTGTGTGGAACCATGAAATACCTGTGTGCACATTCATTGGGCACCATGACCTCTCCTTTTGCAGCTGCGGACAAAAGTGTTTTGTCAATACTGACGGTTTCCAATCGACAACCAAATACATGTGAACATGTATGCTATTGCCCCTCAATTCAGGCACTGCTTATCTAATTAGATTTTAAAAAAGCAATGTTTTCATTGAATGCTGATGAGTCTAAGTGTCTGAACATTGATATTAGATTTTATGATTATGAGCTGGGCTCAGTTATAAGAAGCATCTAGCCAGCAGGAAAGTAAATGGTGCATCAGCCGTTATGGTGGAACTATGTGCTGTGCAGTGATGAGAACCCTAACCTGCCCGACATAAAGGGAGACACAGTTAAAATGGTTTCCAAAGCTTCCAAGGCCCTCATGAGATCATTGCACTCAAAGGTGGAAAACTTATTCTGATGTTTATTACGACAT